CTTGGTCTATTGGGTTTAAGTCCAGTGAGTTCCCAGGCTACTCCAGCACTTGAATGTTCATGCAGAAGCTTTTTGAGAAGTTGTATTTTGGTAGCATGATGAAATCGCATGTTCAGCTCCTTTTGCAGTTGGTGTTGAATTGTTTGTTCTGACAATCTTTTGAAAGAGGTTGTGGTGGGCTTTCTTCATTTCTGCTGCAGACATTCATCAGTTCTTGACTCATAAGCCAAAGATTGCCAGCCGTGCACTTCAGTCCAAACTGATGCTGTACCTTGTCCTCAATTTCTCTGAGACAGTTTTCCACCCAACAAGGCAACAATGTGAGCCTTTTTCCCACCAGACATGTTCATGGGAACCATGGTGACTGTTCTAAGAAAAAATTGGGCTAGTATGGAAAGGTGTTTTTTCTTGTCATTAGAATGTGGCAAATACTGATGCGACTGCCCAAGGATATAGTTAAATACATAGTCAGAGTGGGAATCTTGTACATATAGGCGTGAGACACCATAGAGATGTCAGGCAAACAATTTTGTGACAATTCAATTTAACGGGCAACAACCTGGTTCTAACTTTGGCATAAAAATGCCTCTAATTATGGAATTGGAATCAACACTCTTTGTGGACACTACTGATAAGGAAGAATATTAACCCTCTCAGCCTCGGAGCCTGAGACACATACGTGCATGAAAACTTACGCTCAGCCTCGGAGGTTTTTGCCGAAAAATCTTTGAAAAAAAAAATTGGGGCTCATTTCACTACCATGGAATTGTTTTATGAAGTGTAATGGGGGTCTCTTCTAGCATAAAATTGTATGAACAATTGCATGAAACCATAAAAAATTTAAAATTCTTGAAATTTAAGCCACTTTCTTCGAGCACAAGTTGAGAAAGTAGGAAAATGTTCAATAAAATTTTATTTCCATTTACATTTTGCTTGTATTATGGTGTTCATTGATATGTACTATATACCAAAATAAAGAACAAAGCATGTAGAATATTGTGGTATAATGAAAAATAATATAGCACAAAAACTCATGGAATAATTAAAGGGCCAAGCGGCACACCCTCCTCTCGCTCTAATGGCCAGTGACACTGGCTTCATGCTGCGCTGCCAAGCACACGGTGACCAAGACTGTCTCGGGGAAGGTGATAAGGCCCACACAAAGAAAACGACGTCTGTCAAATGGCATCCAAAGTTCAGCCAGTTTCACTGAATAGTTTTGAGTTATTTGAAAATATAGCCCATTGGACGTGGCCACTGGCGTCGTGAGGCTGAGCGTAAGTTTTTCACCTTTTATGTTCGACGCCATTCGTGCGAGGCTGAAAGGGTTAAGAAAGGAACTGGAATGGAATACAATATACGTAAAGGAAAAAATGAAGAGAAAGGTAAAATGGAAAATAAATAAAATGGTTAAGAAAGTGGAAGGAAGGTAAGCAGAGAAAAAATTAAAGAAATTGGAACAAAAGATGATTTAAAAAAATATATTAAGAAAGAAAATGGAAGGGATAGTAAATACAGTACAGTAGGGGTGTACTCACCATTACTGCTCGTACAGCCAGCCAAAGTTGACACTACAATAGACCACATCCATTAATGAAGCAAATCTTTGAGCAGCTTCACAGAAAACAAGATGCACTGAATTTTCAATTATTTCAAGATTTTCTTTTAATGTCAATCATTTCTTCTTGCATTTCCTGCCTGAAGGCTTGGCTGGCACTTTTAGCCTGGTTCAATTGTTACTTCATTCACAGAACACACAAAAATTCTTGGGTATAATACCAGTGTCCCTTAAGACTGTGATCACAGCAAAGAAGACAAAGGGACTAAGGAATTGGTGGATTGAGAAGACAGAAATGTTATATAACAGTAAGTTAGAATACTCTGGGTGACCAGGCATTGATGTCAAAATACAACATATGTACAATTTTGTTTATGTTTTATCAGTAACCAGAAAAAAACAGAACATTTGGAGAGGGAATGAAATGGATGCCTATCGTCATATCCAGTTACTGTATTGAAAGATTTACAGTTAAGAGGGACTTTCCTATACTGTAATTTTCAGTTTTTGTCAACACTAATCATTTTCCATGGCACTTCTCCTTTGAGTTATCTATATACTTCTTACAAGCCACGATAATTGTAATTACAGCAATCTGCAAATTGCTAAAATATTTACTAAATGGACAAAAAATGGTCAGTACATTTACGATGTTCAACTAGTCACAAATGTAAACAATGAACTGGCACAACATGACATGGCTTAGATCAATAAATTGTAGCATGTGGTACTAGTTCATGCAGCACTTACAGATTATTTGACTGACAACAGACTTATGATCGGTGACATACAAAGAGTCCTCTATTTCTACAAGGTACAAGTGTTAAATTCCACTGCTATGAAGTCTTACAAACCTGCAATCCAATGCAATAGTAAGGAGGATGATGCAACACTAAAAAATGGATGGAAGCAGGTAATGTGCTGACAGGCCCGAGGGGATTATGTAACTTTTAGCACACCTGAGATTGGCCCAAGTAGGCTTGCATTGTGAGTATTACAGAATAGCGGTTTGGAAAGTGAAAAAGAAAAAAAGTTATTTTATATTCTGTGCAATGATGTGGGATAGGATACAGATATGCATGATGAAGTGGGAGCGTACAGTACCATGTTCTATATCTCTGAGAATTATACTTTACTTAGAATATGGAAGTTGTCAACCTTCACCACCTGAGAGCTACAAGTATCAACCGAGGATGGAAGACAAACACTGATCTCAACATTCACACGTGGAAAAAAAAAATGTGATCAGAAAAAGGATGTGAGGGAATAAAAATAGTGAGAGGTCTGCCTTATAACATTTTAAGTAAAAAGTGAATAACAGATAAAAAAAATTATCAAGCCTTTAGAGCAAGTAAAAGACATGTCATGTATACCATGGACATGGTTGATAATGACCACAACACAGGTGTAGCAACAATATGGAGCACTTCCCATGAATAAAAGGAATGAGAAATACATTGGATTTAAAGCACACTATGTGTATGAAAAGTAAAAGATTATCCTGAAATCTCATTTTTAGAGAACATAGATTTTGTAACTACTGTATAATGCATCAAAAAGCTTGATTAGTTTAACTCCAGGTTATCACAAACCCTCTATTCATGCAACTCGGCTATATTTAAATAATCCTTTGAAATCCTAACTAAAATCTGTCTCTTTCCTGGGTCAACTAGTCCCTATTAATAGTACTGAAGGACCAGTTGCCAAGACTCAGAGCTGTAAATCTATACTTTCAGACTTACTATACATGCACCCTTTTACTCAGCAAACTGGACTCAGGTCAGTCATTTTCAATGCTTAGCTCACTTCATCCTCCCTAGGTAGGAGGGATGAATCTGAGGCACCTACTTAGTTTTCATGATAAAATGGAACCAATCCTTCCACTGATTGGGTAACTTATGTAGGTTCTAGCCAGCTAGTACTGGTAAGAGGACTGAAGCATGAACTTTTGAGGTAACAAGGTGGCCTGTACCCTTTATCCCAGGAACCAGGGTAAAGCACTAAATTTATAGACTCCTAAGCAGCAAGTAATGGACTTCATAAACATGGTACGTGTACATTCATTCAAATATTTAGTGAAGGACACCCTTGCAGATGCTAATACTTCTCTCTTGAGGATGGACCTGTAAAACACCAAGGAGGAAGGTTAAGGATGACACCACTTCCCCACGAAGGATGCAACCAGGTAATCATCACCGCCATCTTTATAGGATTAGTTAAAAAGGTTTTCACCAAGATATTGAAAATATAAATCTTTTGTGGTTGCACAGTTTGACGTATGGTTAATAATCAGAGCCGGCTGATTAAACCTTTACAGCAACTAAGTGTAGCTCTGAATTACTCTTACCAGACAATGAGTGTGATGAGATCCCTGCTCAATTTCAATACCTGAAACTGAATTTACTCAGACCTGGCACTAGGATAATTTATTTTCAACAATTGTATAAAGATTTGCATGAAGATTGACCCATGACAATTAAGAGCCCCCCCCCCCCCAACATACAGCCATAAACCTTATTCTGATGACTCATCTGTGAAAAGCTAAGGTCTCTAAAAGGAAAGTTGCATCTAACAAGATAAAAAGCATATTGCACAATACCATAAGATTAAAATGAAAATCCTATAAGACCATGTTACAAGAGACAACATACCAACCTGATGTGACACAAGTATGCCAACACAGTTATAGGGAACAAACCCCTATGAATCCCTCGAGTGCATACCCGGAAAAACTGCTTGCAGCTAGCCAACTGTGGCAATAAGCACTGTTGAGAGAGGTAACTCAGACTCAATTGGAAATAAACTGTTTCTGCTGCATTAACTAGCCATAACTGAGCACCTGTCAGATCTTCTGAAGAATTCTCGTATACCTTACAATGGAGTATACAGAAGCGCAGAACCCCTTATAGGAGATATTATATGCAGACCTGATCTACCTTAAGGCAAAATTTCCAGTTTTACTCCTGAAGCAGAACTTTCATAACATCCCATTTCAGAAAGTCCCAAGAATACCTGAAAATCCTGAGTAACCTAAAGCCAAATTCATCTGGCAAAGCAAATCTGAGTTATGTGTTGTGGAGAATGGCCATGTACAGTACACTGAAGGGTAACAATTGGGTGCTCTTATAACAAGTAATATATACTCAAGGTATAATACTAACATCTAAAACTGTGAGGCAACCAGTCATCCTCACATAAGCACTCCAAATAAATGAAGGAAGCACTTAGCTGCCTATATGTGGACAACCAATCAGAAAGAGCCTTTGGGAACTGAAGGTTATTGAGCCTAGGGGTTATGTATTTTAAAGCCAGTTTAAGTTGTAGTTGTACTCTGCAGTACAGCAGTGTATGCTGATAGCTCTCAGCCTCAGCAGCTGGTACTTCAGTACAGCACTAAATCTTACTTATAAGGCCGTGGTTGAGGCAGGAAAGATACTACCTCTAGTTTCTGGTTTTATTAGTGAAGGGTTCCAGGGTAATCAGGTCAACCTGTAAACTAGCTGACACAGTACAAGAGCCACCCGATCCACTGCAATTATAACAAAAGTGCTGCATCGGAAGAGAGATGAATCAATTGTGACTCAATATTCTATTTAACATTATAAAAAAAAATTTAATAATGATGTCAAACCCAACCCTACTAATTCAATGTTTAAAATATGATTAGCTGAAATTTTCAAAGTATTATTCATACCCAGTGATCATTTTAATTGTCCTACATTTGTCAGTCACTTCTTACTCACTACAGGGGCACACAATAACTGGCTTCTCAATTAACATTTAACAACTATAGGGAGCACCAAGTGATCTTTAACTGTCCTGCAGAAAAATGATCAGTAGTTCTGTGTTGGGAGACTCACACTCCACTAACAGATGGTACTACAGAAACAGAATTAGTTACATAACACTTAATACATACGTACACACAATTTTGTGACTCTCAATTGAGATGGAGATGGCTCATCTCCCTTTTTATATTTCTAAGGCAGCACAACACTTAAATTCAGGGATGGCAAGTTCCTCTACTTAATAACAAAGCTCTGGTCTGTCATAAAACTGAAAAGCTAAGATGCTAAACATGGTCCAAACACTTACTGTATATGTATTACAAATGTCACAATAAAAATAAAATACATAATTTTTTTCTGTGTTTTTGACTACCCTTCAAAAATTTATGGTGTGTGGATCACCTTCATGTGAAATATGGGTATCTGGCATGACTCAAGACGTATCATCTCAATCTCTGTGAACATGTTGACGACAATGGTTATCTCTGGTTTGCTTACCCCTCCTCAGCACACAACAGGGGCATGGTAAATACTGTACAAGCAAAATAAGAAAATTTACAGTTTCTAATCCTTATTACACCTTAAAAATTTAACTGCCCACATAAAAAAAAACAAAAAAAACAATAGCTGAATAATTATTATTGTCACATGACTGAAACAGTCACCATTGGCTGCCAAGTGATAAACACCAAGGGTAAAAAGTGAAGGTTGCCTCTACAACATACAAAGAGATTTAAATACATGTCATGATACAAGATGCAAGTACCTGTAGTACTCAAAATTATCTAAGAAAATCACTATAAATTATTTTTGTTGGCAAAGCCTCAATAAAAGCAAATTGGTTCCCACATGGAAAAAACTGCATGTAAACATTATTCTGACATCAACATACTTTACTCAATATGGTCCTTTAGTTTCTCCTAAGCTGCCCTTCAACTGCTTTTAAAAAAGAGAATTTGTTCCATTTATGTTTCACCTGTGCTAACTTTACATGTGTAGTACAGTACATTGATAGAGTTGACCTGTTTGTTGTAACTAAACAGCTATATATTTCTGGAATATTGAGGACACTTGTCCTTGCATCAGTATTTGTGATACAGCTGACAGGGATATTATATTCCTCTTTTATAAAATATCAAACCTGGTAAATTAACATGTTAACATCACCCATTTGTATAAAATCTCATCTGAGCCAGTTGTTTATATTTCAGCTTGATTTATTAATTATTATATCTTCTATGTACAGTCGGGATCAAAAGTTCGCTCGCGTCCAAAATAAGCAGTATCGACCCCAAATGAGATGAAACATTCAGCGTAAGTCAGTACAGAGACTCATTCCCATGACTTAGTTTCACCACAGGGAGTGATCTTTTGTCCCCGACTGTATTTTTAACTTTTCATAAGTAAACACCCAAAGATGACGTACTAACTTGGCAACTCAAACTTATAACTTCATTTTGTCATAAATATCTGCAAGATACTGTAGACACAATCTTCACAGCTATAATTTTCAAGAAATAAATTTTGAACTACAGTATATTTCTATTATTCCACTAACCAAACCATTAAATTATGGTAAAATAGGTCCTGAAAACACAAGGAGACACATTATAAAACAAATATATCGAATGAGTTGTAAGCTACATCCTTATATTGTTCAACACATACATTGTCAAATAAGACCAAAGGGATGAAGGGCATTAGTGCACTTCCCTGGTCATCCTTCTAGGAGCTCCAATGATAACTGTTTTGTCATTGTAAAAAGTACATTTGGTCTATTTCTCTTTTCTTTTACTAGATCAGAACTTTCTTTATTACAAGTCTGGCCATCACCTGAATTAAGGCTTTTAAATCTACTGGCATATCATTATAGAGACACTGTCAACCAAGCAGTACTAGATGTACTGATGCCAATATAACAATGTTATCAATTTGATTGTAAGCACATTGTGTTGCACTTGATGTTTTCACTTTCAAGTAACTTCTTTATATATGTAATATTTTCAAATCTTAAATGATCTAGCATGACTGGAAACAGGCCTGGGGATGTTCAGTATATAAAAAAACTCAAATCTGTTAAATGAATTGAAAAAATATTGCAGACTATAACTGAGGTTAAAACGAGTCTAAATACAGTTTTAAATAAGAGACTTACAAAAATAAAACCTTGGCATGTGAATACAGACATGAAGAGGAAAGTTTTATTGATCTCCAGGTACATTATGATAAAAATTAACAATATTTAATTGTGTAACATACCCAGTAACATCTAGTCAAGGCGCTGCTGTGTATCAAACCTGTCTGTTGCAATGACCCTCAACAAATGGCAGTTGAAACCCGGGGTTAACTAAGTACCCCTGTTATAGCTATAACATCATTATAAAAAATTTCACAAACAGTAAATCCTGACTTTTAACTTAACACAGTTTTCCTCCTCAACCACAGACTAATGGTCCCCAACCTCATACAGTTCCTCACACTTCTGTAGTAACTTTAAAACAGGACTAATATTGTAAGGGAAGAGGTTTTTGGACACCAGACGGTCAATGGCAAAGCGGAGACGGATGAGAACGGTCATGACCTCCTCCAGTCTACGACCACAGTGGGACGCAAACTCATGCCAGCTGCGGCGAATAAATTTGAGGTAGCGAAGCAGGTAAAGGAGGAAGGATGTCTCATTAGACACTAAGAGGTCAAGGAGCACATCATGTTCTAGGTAGATGGTCTCGAGGAACACCAGGAAGGTGGTATGAGGGTTGACACATGCATGAAGCTCTGGTTGTTGCCTGTAACAATAAAAAAATTAAATAAATTAGATTTCATACAATGGACAAGGTCCCTTGGTTCCTCCATCTTATATCTGGCTTTCTCCTGAACTCTTTACCCATCTCACCCAGAAACTGTCTTTCATTCTATTTACCCAATGTTTCTATACCACCTCTCAGCTCAATATCTTTACCCATCAACCGCTACCTAAATAACTGCAGCATTTTCTAATTTCATTATAGCACATACCCGGTAAATTCTATAAATTCTAGCTACATCTATTTCTAAGATAACCACTGCAATTGTCAGTATTTTTTGCATCAAAATTATTATTAGCATAAGTTCCAAATAATTTGACATTCCTTCCCATCATATGATATCCTATAGCTTTTATGTGTCTTCCAATAAATGTGAAAAACAATGGATACATCTCTGGAATACGTTATTTAAACAAAATAAATACAAGTTTTTGTTTTTTTAACATGACATACCAACCTGACTGTATTTTAGTATGGTAGCTAATCAGTCAGAGGGTTGAAATCCTCCTCATTGGTCAAATCAAGATGAAAAGCCCATAATCAAATGAAAGACCTATGTTGGAACCTAAAGCCTCTACAGCCAACGAAATAATATTCGCAACCACCTGGTCAAGAAGCACAGAACCAATGAGTTCCTTAACTTTGACCCTCACAATTCTGAAAAATGCAATATAACAAATCCTGAAGTTTGTGATGGGGATCCATACACATACCTAACAAAATAGGTAAAATTCTCCTTAGGAACAATTAAGGTATCCATGAACTAAGACAGACAGCATAAAATTAAATCATAGCAGTTTATCAACAGCTCAGAATTCACCAGGTAACAATATAACAGGTCTGGGAACAATATAACAAGTCTGGACACAATATAACAGGTCTGGGAACAATATGACAGGTATGGGAACAATATAACAAGTCTGGACACAATATAACAGGTCTGGGAACAATATAACAGGTCTGGGAACAATATGACAGGTATGGGAACAATATAACAAGTCTGGACACAATATAACAGGTCTGGGAACAATATAACAGGTCTGGGAACAATATGACAGGTATGGGAACAATATGACAGGTATGGGAACAATATGACAGGTCTGGACACAATATAACAGGTCTGGGAACAATATGACAGGTATGGGAACAATATAACAGGTCTGGACACAATATAACAGGTCTGGGAACAATATAACAGGTCTGGGAACAATATGACAGGTATGGGAACAATATAACAAATCTGGACACAATATAACAGGTCTGGGAACAATATAACAGAGTCTGGGAACAATACTGAAACAGGTCTAGAACAACTAACAAGTCTGGACACAATATAACAGGTCTGGGGAACAATATATGACAGGTCTGGGAACAATACTTAATGACAGTAATAGGGAACAATATAACAAGTCTGGACACAATATAACAAGGGAACATATAACAGGTCTGGGGACAATATGAAGGTATGGGAACAATATGAGCAGGTCTGGACACAATGCAATAACAGGTAACAATATAACAGGTCTGGGAACAATATGACAGGTCTGGGAATACCAGGCAGGTATGGAACAATATAAAGGTCTGGACAATATAACAGGTCTGGAACAATATAACAGGTCTGGGAACAATAGAACAGGTCTGGGAACAATATAACAGGTCTGGACACAATATAACAGGTCTGGGAACAATATAACAGGTCTGGGAACAATATGACAGGTATGGGAACAATATAACAAGTCTGGACAGGAAACAATAAACAGGTCTGGGATAAGCAGGTCTGGGAACAATATAGGTCTGGAACAATATATGAGTCTGAACATCAGAACAGGTAGAAACAGATACTGGGAACAATATAACAGGTCTGGGAACAATATAACAGGTCTGGGAACAATATAGCAGGTCAACATTAGAACAGGTTGGGAACAATAGAACAGGTCTGGAACAATATAACAGGTCTGGGAACAATATAACAGGTCTGGGAACAATATAACAGGTCTGAGGTCACAATACAGACAGGTCAACAATAGAACAGGTCTGGGAACAATAGAACAGGTCTGGAACAATAGAACAGGTTTGGGAACAATAGACAGGTCTGGGAACAATATAACAGGTTTGGGAACAATATAACAGGTCTGAAGACAATAGAACAGGTCTGGGAACAATAGAACAGGTCTGGGAACAATGGGCATATAACAGGTCTGGGAACAATAGAACAGGTCTGGGAACAATAGAACAGGTCTGGGAACAATAGGAACAGGTCTGGGAACAATATAGACAGGTCTGGGAACAATATAACAGGTCTGGGAACAATAGATTTGGGAACAATAGAACAGGTCTGGGAACAATATAACAGGTCCAGGTCTGGGAACAATAGAACAGGTCTGGAACAATAGAACAGGTCTGGGAACAATAGAACAGGTTTTCTGGAACAGAACAGTCTGGGAACAATATAACAGGTTTGGGAACAATATAACAGGTCTGGGAACAATAGAACAGGTCAACCAGGTCTGAGAACAATAGAACAGGTCTGGAACAATAGAAACAGGTATGGGAACAATATAACAGGTCTGGGAAACAATATAACAGGTCTGGGAACAATATAACAGGTCTGGGAACAATAGAACAGGTCTGGGAACAATAGAACAGGTCTGGGAACAATATGACAGGTCTGGGAACAATATGACAGGTATGGGAACAATATAACAGGTCTGGGAACAATAGAACAGGTCTGGGAACAATAGAACAGGTCAGGGAACAATAGAACAGGTCTGGGAACAATATAACAGGTCTGGGAACAATAGAACAGGTCTGGGAACTGGGGAACAATAGAACAGGTCTGGGAACAATAGAACAGGTCTGGGAACAATAGAACAGGTCTGGGGAACAATAGAACAGGTCTGGGAACAATAGAACAGGTCTGGGAACAATAGAATAGGTCTGGGAACAATAGAACAGGTCTGGGAACAATAGAACAGGTCTGGGAACAATATAACAGGTTTGGGAACAATATAACAGGTCTGGGAACAATATAACAGGTCTGGGAACAATATAACAGGTCTGGGAACAATATAACAGGTCTGGGAACAATATAACAGGTCTGGGAACAATATAACAGGTCTGGGAACAATATAACAAGTCTGGGAACAAATTGAGGAGTACAGCTCACACTTTGCTGGTAATGATCCCAATCACTGCCAGTTATAGTACACTGTATAACCAAATCTGGCTGTTAGACCCTTGAAATATTTTGTTGTGTCCTCATACACAACAGAACAAAAACATTAATCTATAGAAGAGGAATATTATACACAGGGCCAATTACCTCAATAAGACCTTAATAGCAGAGGTTCATCTAAGGTGCAGGTAGTTCTCCATTTAAAGCCAAATTTTAAGATCCATTCCACCCCTGGAGACCCCAGAGTTGAACCTGATGACTTTGTCCTCCGAGTAAAAACTCACACAATATTCATTGGCTGTCCTTATGCTTTAGACTTTACCACCATTGGTGAGTAGAATTTTTGTTTTACATTCGTAAGTATTATTTATAACATATATGAACAGTAATAAGTGTTACTTTCATATTCTTATATAGAGAATGACGATGTTTACACATATGCAATTACATACATTAGCGTTCCCAATCCATTTCGTTTTTTTCTTTGCCATTAGTGGTTAGCTACTTCTATTGTTCCATTTACAGTGGTCCCTCGGTTAACGAGATTTCGGTTAACGAGTTACCTTCCAGAAGATTCTTGACTTCGGTTAACGAGCAATCCCTCGATTAACGAGTTTCTTACGAGCCGACCTCAACATGTTTTCGCTTGCATTTGGCGGTCCACCAGCTGTAGTATTAGTCCGCCAATACTGTAATCGGTTCTAGGGCTTATATTTCTTATCATTTTAGTAAATATCAAGAAGTTTATAGTATTCAATAATTTTAAAAGTTTAATATTAAATTTTTTAGTTATTTTAACAATTATTGAACATAATTGAAGGTAAGGAAACTAGTTTTATGCGCGCCATCCAGCCTGTCAACACACCAAACAGGCGCCAGGCTCTCTGTCTTTTCAGTGGAGGTAACATCTTGCTTGAGACTCTCCTCAACTAAATGCTTTTTTTCTGTGTTTGCAAGCAAATTATTGGTCATTTTGAAATTTATTTTACATATTGACAATATATTATGCAGTGCAGTGTTGATTTAAAGAAAATAATCTTGAATTACACCAAGTGAACTAAAATTTTATGGGTGAAATGGCACCATGGGGTGACTTCTCTTCCACCCCAATGCCTTCTCTTCTCCCTTCTCCTCCACCCCCATTCTAATTCCCATCATCATCATCATCCAGGAGCCTTCTACATACACACCTCAAAGTAAGTGTACTTTTCTACCTTTTTTGTTGAATTTAGGCAAAAAATTTACCCAAAAACACATTGAAACAATGGTTTCGGTTATCGAGCAACCTTCTAGAACGGATTGTGCTCGTTAACCGCGGGACCACTGTATTAACATTAAATAACATTACAGTACTTAAAATAAACATATTAATTTTTTTTACATTAATTTTACTACAGCTACAACCAGGGTCTTATTTTCTTCAGTTTCTTATGTAGAACCATCGTCACTCATGAAAACAATGCAGTATCTTCTCCTCTTGTGTGTTTTAATATTCTAAGTTTAATTAATGAATTGCATTGTTCATTTCACATATATAAACATTAATTTAATCAGATCAAATACATATTCTGTAATAAACAACAATGAATCTTTTGTACATATTCTTAATAAGATAAATGATGCTATGTTTCCTTGAGGGCGCAAGTACAGTATACACTGGCGTTCCACTATCACTCTTTTTTTTCTTTAACATCAGTGGTTACTTTTACTGTTCATTAAACAACATTAATTAAAAAAAATAATTTACATTAATTAATACAGCAACAACCAGGGTCTTACTTTCTTCAGTTTCAGATGGATAACTGACATTATGGGTGTAAACACTGACAACAATAATGGTGTCCCATCTCCTCTTGGGTGACCTTATTATTATTGATTAATTATAATTAATGATTCACAATACAATGATTCAACTTTTAACATATGAAGAAAGTTTATTCCCTTTAATGTTTTTTGACTTCATAAATATATTTTTGTCACATTCTGTATGTAAGATTCTGTGTACATGTAAAAGTATAAATAAAAAATAAGAAAATTACTGTATGTATACAGTGTATCTACCTAAATTTATGAGTTGAAAAATAACCATAACAAAGCTCACAACTTGAAGGAGAGGGATAAGGGATGTGACTATAGTCATGAGTCTTGTGTTACTGTTACACATAAGTGGGGTATGCTATAACGAATCTAATTGGTTCTAGAACCTCGTTCGTTATAGGATTAATCCGTTCCAGGCCCCCAAATACAACCACTTAACACTGAAAAATATAATATAAAATTGTAAAAAGTGTAAAAAGTGCATAAATATGCATCTAAACCCCTGAAATAAAGAATATCATTAATACTTGTAATAAAAAAACAACAAATTAGTAAAAAAAAAATTAAATAAAATAAAAAACAATAATGTTCGTTGTAGGAGTTTCGTTCGTTATAGCATTCTCAATTTTATAGGTAAAACCGTCCGTTATAGGAATATTCGTAGTAGAAGCCATTCGTTATAGCATACCCCACTGTACAGGAAACAAAACTATTATAAAATACCAAAATATAAATATTATCACAAATATAATGTAATGGCATACTGTACAAGGTAAGTCAGCAAACTTACAACTTCCAGTACAGTACCCGGTTCCTATTTCCCAGAATTTATAACCATACCACCTACTTTTCTTATGTTACTGTATTTAACAATTGTGTACAATCTAGATGAAAAAATGTGGCCAAAACCATTAGGAAAAAGCTAAATGAAAGTTTAACACAACCGCTATTTGCACAGATGCTGGCTGCTTGGGCATAGAAATGTAGCCCAGCTGGGATGCAGCCGGTGTCGACTCCTTAGCAACGCCCCACCACACTCCACTCTCTCCTCCCCTGCTCAGCGTACAAAGAAACATTTATTTCCTTTATGTGTTTGACCTTATTATACAGTAATTATCTCATTTACTTTTTTTTTACAATATGTATGTAGGACTGTGTATGCATGGAACCGAGTGAAAAAAAGGTACAAATATCTACCCGAAATTACAAGTTGAAAAATAACCATGACACCTCACAGCTCTGCTTGGTATGGGGAGGGCTTGGAGAATGTGGGTACAGTGATAAGTCTAACTTGGCAACAATGCTGCCAGCAATGTTAACAAATGCAAATGAAAAGAAAATTATCTGTAAATCTTCCTTTGTTACAGATATTTGCAGATTTAAAGTGACATATGTAGTGAATGAGGTTCTGGTCTTCATGTAGCAACATAAAGAATGACTAGGGGTATGGTAGGCAAGCCTAGGATAAAGGAGCTTATTGGTAAGGTAAGCTTACCTCATGAATGTACCAGGTAGCTATCATTCACTGCAAATACCCATAGAAATACATGAATTTTAACCCCTTATAAAAACTATGAATATATAGTTCAACCCCTTAATTTTTGCAGGAAAATTTTATCATAAAAACTTGAACTGTACTCGAATATATATGGTACACAGTATGTACGCACTTTATTTTTGAAGTGTAATTTTTTTCTATACACTGTACCATCAAACTTTCCATTGTAATAGGAACATAATAAATGCGTGAGAATAAGTTTGTCTAATGAAACAAGCATAACAGATAATATTTTTTCTTTAGGGAAGAAAAACCATAATGCTACTTTAAGGAAAAAATTTTTGTGACTTCTGACACCAAATACTAGTCGAGAAGTGATTAGCAGTCCGATTTATTCATGTAGGACCATTATTTGACTTCATTCCGGCTACATTTGGGTACATTTGGGTAATTAGTCGGACCGCTTCCATAGTGGTGTGCCTAATGTGCCAAGAAATAAGGTACAGTAGCTATGTGTGTCATAAATAAAAGCAGTACATAATGATGTTCTTTGATAACCCACTACTGTATGTGTCACAATAGAGAAAGTCAACTATTTCCACCTTCTATGCATCAGTCTTCCTCAAGAAGTCAGAGAACTGTACAAGAGCATCACACTGCTGAGGAAGCATAAGAAAATTTTTATTATTTTAGAGATTTACAGGACAGTAAAACTGATATCCATAAATTGATTTGAGCTGACACAAATACAGTAAATTAATGTACTGGTGTAATAGAAACAAGAAAAGTGCAATTGCTATTAAAGAGGTGACAGCTCATCGATAGTTACAGCAAGCAAAGTTTTCTTGGTATCAAAATGTTATCCTAACTACTGTAGTATGTACAGTACATAGTTTTCATATATGAGTATCATTTGTTAGTTTAAAGTGTAAGCAATAAATAGAAGTCATTAATCAAAAACCATTTCCCCCCCCCCAATTCAAATGTTGCAAAACTTTCTCTGGTAGGAACATATCAGTATTACCAGTGTACATAAGAGTAATATAGCTATCTAGTAAAAAATATAAGAAACATGTCTATCTTGAAGATTTTATAAACAATTTAGGGAGCCTGATACATCTCATATATCTGAAAAGGTGACTTGAATGTAGATACAGTATGAAAAAGTTGATCTTCCCTCATGGGTTTGTATACTTACCGATTATACTTGTAATACATAAGCAAGTTCTAACACTAAAATCCTCCAGGCAATCCTTGCCTCCCCAACTTGTTTTAAAGCCCACATGAACCCATGTAAGATATCCTCCATCCAATATCCAAGATAAAAGTTACCTGAAACTACATTTCAGACCAAAACAGAGGATCATCTTGACCCAAACCAACAATTGGAATAGAGAGGACTATCATATGGCAGCCGGACTAATCTTAAAATGGGTAATGAGGCAGAGGCCAGAAGAGAAGCAACTAATCACTCTGAACTAATAATGTTGTTAATTCTAGCCACCATTACCAAAGGCATATGAGTTTTTATTTCATAGATTTTGGCTGATAATATATGAGATGACCAAGACAGCATTAGGTTATAAAATGTACAGTACAAAACAGGTACTCCTCGACTTACGACCATCCGGACATACGACCACCGCAGTCGTATAAAATATTTTTCAAATTACGTATTTTTGAGTCCCGATGTTATTGATCGCGCTGTGTACAAGTACTGACAAAATTTTCGGTTGTAATTCACTTTAAAATGGCTGGCAAGCATAAAAGTGAGAGTTCTCGTGGTGCTGAGAAGAAAAAGAAACACCCATTTTAGATTTTCTATGTATTATTTTCGCCTTTTCGACTTATGACCAATTCGTCTTACGACCAATTCAACTTACGACCTGGTCGTCGGTCCAGAACCCCGTCATATGTCGAGGAGAGACTGTACATACATTTTGTGATGAGAATGCAACCACACTATTGGTACAGTACAAGTAAAATAATTCACCTGGAATTAAAATTTATACAGCCAGTCCTCACTAAACAATATAACAAGAGGGATAAGTTTTGTAAAAGTTGTGCATAGCTACAGTGTAAATTAGTATAGTGGAAGCAATTTTCCCATATACATACCCGGTATACAGTAAACTGTATTGTTATAAATGGAGGATGTTTGTGGGACTGATTATCAAACACTTGACAAAACTAAAACTAACCAAACTAAATATGAAACACATAATAACCCAACAAATCAATACAGAATATCACTAATGTATATTCAAATGAAAACAGGAAACCCTGTTATGAACAGATCATGTTCCACAATGTTGTTTGTAAATTGTTTGTTCAGAACTCTGGACCCAATTTCTCTCAGGCACAAATTTATAAATGGTGGTTGCCTATTTCACCTATAATTTAGCTGAACTATTGTACAGTACACTTACAGGTTCAATAAGCAAAATCTGGTTGTGAGGAAACTGGTAGTTAATGATATAAAACCCCACATTTCCACCAATCTGGCATGGCAGGAGGGAATGGGGTAGAGAGAGAAATACTGTTCATAAATTTCATGTACTGGTAACTAAAAATACCTATTGTGAGAGTGCATAATTATACTGTATATGGTGAGAAATGCCTGTACAGAAACTTAGTGAAGTACTCTACTTGTAATGTTCTAAAGTGGAGCTTTTGATCATCTAGAGCTGCATCATATTGTTTAGGATGTACTGTACTGAAAATCCAAGAAACAGCCAGACTTTAAGTCAAGGAAGTGTTTACCCAAATTTCAGTACAATATATTGTATTGATACATTCCATGTAAAAGCACCTGCATTAAAAATATATTGTATTTGTTAAGAATGCCATTGCCTATTTAAATAAAGTTCCTTAAACAAAACTTTCCTTAGCATTCACTGGGAAGCAAAATTTCAAAGGAAAAGTTTTAGAATTTAGGAGTACAGTACTGGATAATTTGTAAATGTATTACAGTACCTGATACGGAGGCCAAGTCCTGTGAAGATGTCGAGACCACACACCATAGACTCAACCAGCCAGTCGTCCTGATCGGCAAATAGCCGTACCATCCACTCAGCCATGGGAGCCTCAGGGAGGAATGGTAATTTGGACTTCACAAAATCATCCACTTTCCGAACAACTTCTCTTAAACTACGTTCAATTATGGCCATATCACTATCCTCTGATCCTGAACCACCAGATCGCGAGGAATTCTCTGAGGAAGAATCGCAACGAGTCTCTTTCACTGTCACTGCTATAGCTTTCAACACAACCAATACCACCTTGTGTAGTATTGTTCTATCACCTTGGTCTGTACCACTTGCTGACCCTGAGCTGGGTCCAGCACTGGTGTCCATAGCAGAGCTTTGATTCGGCTGTGATCTGTTTCCCGCTGACCCCCCACATGGCACACACTCCAAGAATCTACGATCCTTGACAGCACGAATCAGGAGGTGTGCCAAGTTACAAGGCTCCTCTGCTAATACGTCCTGAAGGGCCAGCGTACTCCCATAACACAAGACCTCGTTATAAAGATCTAACACTTTGCGCCACACTATGGTATGGGTGTGTCGCGTTAACGGAGTCATGAGGCGTTCTAATCCTGAGTAAAATTCTTTTGTATCGGTCACTGATAAATTGGCTTTCACTGATATTAGAGACTCCCATAATGTTAAAAAAGACACAATAACATGTTCTCTTTCCAAAGTAAATTCATTCACTAATTGAGTTAATCTCGCCACTAGGAGAAACCATTTACGGTCAAGCTTCTTCGTGGCCATATACTTTACTTCATTTGCTCCTTGAGTATCAGCTGGAGTCAAAGTGATCTTAGTACATTCTGGAGGTTGGCCAGACTCTGCTTCAGTTCCTTCTAAAGGATGTTCATCAAGGTCTTTCCACTCTATAACTCTTCTTACAACTTCAATTGAATGACCAACCTCTATCAGGTTAGCTGAAATGGCAAGGTTTTCAACTAACTTTTCTAAGACCAGTTCACCAGCTCGGCCACGCAACATAAGAAGCAGTGAAGACAAGGCACGGGAGGCAGAGTAGCTGACATACTTATCCTCTGAGGCCACAAAGCCAAAGAGAATATCCAACACTGCACCCTCATTATCTGCCCCTGCTGCTACCACCTCACTTATGCGAGAACACAGTACACCTCGACTTTGTTGACGTAATGAGACCTCAAAGAACAAGGTGAGCATACTAATGTAGAGTAGAGTCTCATCTCGTAGTCGCAGCATGTGTGCCACAGGATGAGCAGAAAAGCAGTCGTTGCAAACTGCCAGAGTATGGAGGATGTCGGGCAGCTGCAGGGAACACAGACATTTGCGGATCAGCTGGGCATGGATGATCTCCAGGTCTCTCCTTGGCAGCAGCTGCCCCCCACCGTCATCCCCAGAGGGGGGCAACTTTGCCCTTTTCTGCTGAGGTTCTACCATTTTCACATGGTTCAAGATGATCACTTCACACTGGCATGATTTCTGTATCTATCCTCTGTTCTGGGATGCACAAGCACTGGCAGATACAGCACGTGGGCAACCTCCATAGCAACAGCTTGGAGAGCCCGTTTATCAGGACAGGAAAGCCTCCGGCTTATGTCGTCCTCTGCTATTTAAACCAATCAATCCGTGCTCGGTGAATATGACTTCTGAGGGGTTGATGGTCATAACCCCTCACTTCTTGGCAAATACACATCCATTAGCACCTTGGTCCCCATGGCCTCCATCTACTATCTTGCAGCTGCCCCATACATAGTCCTGAAAATACAGAACACAGTAAAAAACATATTGTTGAAAAAATTAACATCTTAATGCTGTAACACTACCGTATATATTATTCCCTAACTAATGAGGTAAAGTTATATCTTTAAAGTTACATACTAGTACATCAATAAGTTTTAAGAGTGAAATGTTTGAAAAGCAAAATACTGTACTTACTGGAATTGGAATAAATCAATACAGAACAATATGCCTAGACAATGACACATGGTAGCTACAATACAGTAGCCACTAAACTGTGAACTATAATAATTTCTAAAGCTTTTGGGAATAATTATGAAGTATAAAATTCCTGAAGCAATGGGCATAATCAAATGCAGATACTGTACTGTACAAAATAAAAAGGCATTCACTGAAAAATATTAAATTTTGAAGAAACATAATGTTTGTCCTAAGAAACGAAAAATAGTACAAGTTGGTCCCACATCTCTAACACAAAAAAATCTGGGGATACAATACACCCAAATTCATTAAGAAGGATATAGGTCATATACATGACTGCAAGATATACAGTACTGTACTGTATTTAATGTGTAAACTTTAAAGGTTACCCAAATTAATGGGTATGATCATCAAAAAGTTGACACCATTACAAGATGACTGACTGTCTGATGCTGGTCTTATATTTTATCATAAATGGGTTTTACTATAAACAGCTCACCAATTATTATTTTTCATGGGCAGCTTTCCTTGTACTGTAGTAAATAGCTGGGTGTCTAACAAGTCAATGTCCAGTGATGATAATGAAATTTCATTCCTGATCTGACCTGTTACCTTTAACAGTTTTTTTTTTTTTTCTTGGGGGCGAGAGAGGGACTAGCCCACCCGAGCACAGGTCACTGACCCACATCAGGGACTGGGGGGGCCTACTTGAGGATGCATCTGTTCTGCCAAGTGCTTTCTTTCAGGATATCATGACATTAGCTGATTATTCACATGGAATTTGGTGACTATTAAGTGTTGTATTACTGTGAGATCACGGATGGATGTAAAATATAATTTCAGCTATATCCCTGGATAGTACATCATGGTGATTCATTTTTTCAGGAAGATTATTAAATATCGTTAAATAATGATGTACCGGTACTGTACATGAAATCTGCTGATAGTATTAGCTATAGAGTACATTTTGACAAAATTTTAAATCACAATAAAGTACGGTAAAATAATCGGTGGTAATATAGCATGCGGTCTACAAAGGTATCTTTAGTCTAACCTAACCTGACCTAACTTAACCTAAGCCACCTTATATATCTTGTAGTCCTCATGCTATAGTAGCTCCCAATAATCTTTTTATTAAGAATGTGACTTTGTGACATTAGAAGATTATATCAATGAAGTTTAGTAACCTGTTTTGACTCAATTAGACATGGTAAACATCCATGATGACCCAGCCTGCACAATGCTTGTTCAAATGGCTCAGGTTAAAGATTTGTGTGACAGGTAATAAAGTTATTAAGTCCACAACTGTTAGTTAAATTTTCACTAATACCAGTACAGGTACAGTACTCTACAAAACAAGTACCTCCAAAAATGAATCAATATGTAACATTGTTATTTCATTGTTTTAACTATAAACCATCTTGCAGAGAGGTTGTAAGCAAAATATGCAAACAACTTATGATTAAATGATAACTTAAGTTCTAGCACTTGCTTTAATCTTAGGCATTCCCTCCTGGGGTTTTAGTCTGGGTTAAAAAGCTTTGGTACCATACCAGTACTTACTCAGAATGTTTTAACTATTATTTTTGAGTTTACACTGTTACAGAGGCATACAGGGTCAATGAGACACTAAAGATAGGGAAATTATAAAGCATAATACCGGATACACAAGGAAATTCTAACTTGGCTACCATGAGTACTGAGTTTAGCTAACTCATAATCTGTATCGTTTAGGCTACTACTGGTCCGCTACACCGGTATAACGAACTTGTTCTATGGAGTGGATGACATCATGACATCGTCAGGAATGAAATACAGTACAGTAGTCTTAAGGATAAAAAAGAACGAAGATTGAGAATATTGGCCAACGCATATACAATTAGTTATGTTATTGTATGTTAATGATACTCTGGATGGATTTGTTTAAAAAGTCATGACCACACGGAAACAAGACAAGTATGAGTAACGTAACGACTTGATTATGTGTCACCCAATATTCACGCTCTTCCTATACGGTGTATATATACAGTATATATATATATATATATATATATATATATATATATATATATATATATATATATATATATATATATATATATATATATATATATATATATATATATATATATATATATATATATATATATATATATATATATATATATATATATATATATAGCTATATACGACGGTTAGGGACCCAAATCCAGGTCGTAAGTCCGAATGGTCGTAAGTCCGACATAGATATAAAAATAAATAATAAAAAATCTACAATGAAATACAGTACAGTAAAAGTAATATAATAATGAGGAATGGATACAGTGTGACTGAGCACTTACCTTTAATGTAGTCAGCTGAATGCACATGGGGGCCCCCATAATTTTCTAATTATACATGGAGACTACATTAACTGGAAACGTTTCGGTATAGAAAATGCGTGTGTCATTTGGAGAAAAAAAAAAAAAAAAAAAAATGGTCCAATAAATTCGTAAGTCCGAAGCGATTAAGTAAATCAGTAATTAAGTAATTCGAGTTCTGGCTGTATGTGTATGTGATATGTATATATATATATATATATATATATATATATATATATATATATATATATATATATATATATATATATATATATATATATATATATATATATATATATATATAAGTAAATCACTGTAGGTGCACGTGATCCAGGTATATGCTGATAACCACAAGGATAAAGAAAACATTAAGTTCCCAAGCGTCCACAAAAAAATTTAAATTACACCATGTCATATTAAGTTTTTTCTGTTTATTATACCGGGGGTTCCGGCTAGGAAGGTAGGTAAAGGTTAAGTAGGTTTGTTTGGTGAGGTCTTATAACAATGTTTCTGCTGCTTGTTTTTCATATCAACTAAGGTTAGGTTAGGTTTAATTTAGAAATAACCACTTTTAAACACATTTGCACAAACTACGACAGTGTTCACTATATAACACAGTGAAATTGCGAAATTTTTATAATCATGTTCTATGAAAAATCGGCCACAGGTCAGTCGTCAATAATTACCGGTAGCTAATCTAACTTAACTTAACTGAACTTACCTTAATCTAACCTAACCCAAGCCAGCCTACCCTGGTAAATTTGCAGTTTCAGCCCCAACTACTTCTGGACCAAATATTTTTATTTTTCCCATGGTATTTGGTCTGATGCATACGAATTTGACATTCATTTTCGTCGCAAATGAGTGGTTGGGTCGAGGAAAGGGGACGTGATTGCTGCCCGTATCATCATTGGGTATGACTTTGCTTGGGAGATTGGTATCCCCGCTTCCCCTGAGCAACGCTCTTGTGCATTATGCAGAAGACCCGACAGCAGCACCCTTATCCACTGCCTCCAAAGATGTCCCCACACACAACGCTTCCGTGAAGCCTGCTGGACCACCACTCCACGACCCCCTGACGGAGACACGATGATCCTCCCCATACTGGCCAGATATTATGTAAATAATATTGATTATGTGTTAAAGGAATATCCTTCCTTCCTTAGGCTTTAGTAAGCCCCTTTATAATATTTATACTGTATATACTTGTCACACTTGCCAGATGCTTCTGGTGTTATTGTACAGGGGTACCTAGTGACAGCACTAGGATCCCGCTTCCTCTATCAAGGAATAAACAATTGAAATTGAATTGAATGAGTGGTTACCGAGTTATCACAAAATTGCTCTAACCGAGTTGAGGCTGAAACTGCAATACAGAAAGTGTTATACTTACTTGAATTTTCACTTATTATACAAATTTCGAAAGGACTCTTCACTGACGGAGATAAAACAATCAACTAAATAGTAATGCTATGACAACTTTACGAGTTATTTGACTTCTTCATCAATGACAACCACAACGTCTATCTTCTACAAAGTCCTATCAACACCACCATCACCCATCTCACATTTGCCTTCCACACATTCCTGATGCTCTGTACGGTGTTTAAGTATTGGAACCTGGTTACTCCTACATCTAAAACAATAAACCTCCACTTACCACAGACTGACGTGTGAAAAATTGTGTTCCCCGGAGTAGGTGAGGAGTCTGGTTGATGCTGCTCTCCGCGGTCCAAACTCTCCCGACGCATCCTCTTTAATCCTTGTTTTAACACTTTACACGTTTATTTCCCGCCAGACACTACACTACACACTTTCATTAATCCCTGTTGTATCCCTCACGTTGACCAGGGAGAGTTTACGAGCACTGGGGAATGTGTGATAGGCCTTGATCCGCCGATAATCACCCCTGGTAATTGGGATGTTCACCACCACCTCGCTCCTCGCCGTCAACTGAGTAACCAAATTTCATCTTTGTTGTGTCAGAATTTTTAGTCTTAATTTTATATTTTTTATATGAATCCCAATGAAATATAATCAAAATACATTCGGTATGACGAATTATGCAGATTATTTATATTAGGATGATATAAAAAATATAGTTTTCGATGTGTGTGGTTCCTTGTGGTTGTCCACTGTATTCGAAGGAGTCATCAAAAATAATATTAAAAAATAATTTTGTTTATTTCTCCTCTCTAATAATGTAGCTACGGTATCAATCATAATTACGACGATTCCAATATTGTTTCTCTCGATTTATAACACTACAGACTAATATATACGAACTCGTTAACCTGATGTTCGTTAAGTGTTTCTATGAACATGGTCCTGAAGCAGGGATACGGACTAGGGTATCCCTTGGCTTGGCACGGGCATGAAACGGAGATGGGAAGCAAACCCATTGTCTCTTCTCTAGAAAGGCATTTACCTGTAATAACCTAGTACATCCCACGAAAGATATTTTATACTGCCGCATCACACTTTAGAAATTTTTATTGGAAGTAATTAAACTTAATGAAATGACGGTGAGGGTAAATGGTTGCTCACTTTGAATGGCTCGACCTAGCCTGGGGGCACAGGCATGGCTGAGCATCAACTTGTCCACTCTCACTGGAACCAACAATTTAACTGTATTTATGCCCATATTTAGGTACTGTAAAACTATGTCTCTGCTTAATAAATATTCAACAAATATTAGTTGATTGCGGTGGGGAGAGAAGTAGAAGCCAGTGGGGAAGGGTGGAGGTGTGGGGTGGGCACTGTTGTGGGTAGTGTCGTAAGAGTAGGTGACGTAGGGGTGAGCACAGAGCCAAAGGGGTGACCGGAGACCTCTATACTACGACCACCGGATAGGAGTGACCACGGGCCTCAGGAACATGTGGAATATTTTAACCAAACACTACACGGTGAGAGAATAAATGTCTTTATTTGAACTCAGTAAACCTCAAGATATGTCCCTCATTTTGAGTTAGTAAATCATGCAGCTTACCGGGTGTTAGAGGATGAAAATATGCGAAAAATCTTGGTGGAAAGTGGTGAGAATGTGTCAGTGAAGTAGGCCAGGCCAGAGGTGGTCGGGAAAGATGCCTGGGTGAGGGTCATGTGAACCTTGCTTCTCCCCTTCCGTCAGACCCCTCGCATCCAGCCCGCTTGCCTTTTCGTCGGTATTTTTAACACATGTATGTATCAAAACAATAACTTACTTAACGATCCATCATGTCCATGCAAGTTTATTGTATGGAAATAATGCATAATATTGAGGAAGAGCTGGGGGAGGGGAGGGGGGGGGGAGGTTAATCACTCGTCTGAGGCCAAAGGGTTTGATGGTATTTTTAAAATGTATATTACATGAGTAAGTCAAAATACCATTTTTTACTTGATACAGCCTGGCCAAAAACCTGTGGCAAAGGGTTAAAAATTGTACCGCGCGGTGGCGACTTTTCTACACATAGGGAACATCGCCATAATTGCAATTTGACCTTATTATTTTGTGCAGCTGTGTTGGAATTGTATAGGTAACAAACATATACATTATAAAAACAATAGAAACAAAGCTATTACGTATTAAAACAAATAAAAACGATAGCACAGGTATCACATATTAAAACAAAATTCTGATATCATGCTGCACAAATAAAAAATGCTTAATATCCCTGATATATATCATTTTAAACTCATATAGAATCACACTTAAGTGCAATATAAACTGTAGATAAACTGTGTATTTGATTACAATCTTTTAATTATACGCCTATGACAAAACATGTTTATATCATGCCGTACCTGCATTTTAAGGGTATTAAAGTGCAACAAAAGAAAGGTACACTGCATGATTTTTATAGGCCTACAAATAATCTCAATCTTCTTATGAAGGAATCATATAGTACCTATTTACCTCATACCCAAGAACTAAATAAACAAATAAAGCAATTATATTGTAATTCAAATAAAATGTCGTCAACAGCATTATATAATTACATAATTTATTAAACATTGTGAGTACGCATTAGTGAAAATCATAATTTGACTCACCTGATGATTCATATGTTAATTCATCTTCATTAACATCTGTAAATAACATGGTTCTGTCATCCATTGCAACACATATTTCCTGTGAAACCTGATCACCTTCAAACTATTTTATTGTGTTACCGCCTATGTTTGAGTTCCCAGCCGCTGTCTCCTGCTTGTCACTGTACTGGAGTTGTTGTGTCTGCCTTCTTCCATACTGTATTTTGTACGCTTAATTTTTTCAGCCCAAACCGATCTGGGTGGAGGAAGAAGGATCGAATCACTATGCTTAATATTTGCAAGTGGATGCCGATGAGTAGCAGGTGCATTATTTTGCCTAAACAATGCAAATCTTGCATCATTTACACTTATAAACTTTCCTTTCCCATAGAGAGTGCACACAAATGATTCTAATGACAAGATCACACCTGGAGATACAGTACTTCTGGATAATCCTCAACCTTGGAAAGGCTTCCTGAAAACCTTAGACTTTTCCATGATATCATGCGGGCGTACCTTTCCTTCTCGCATGGATGATGATGTGTAGTCACATCCTGTAAGAGCATGTATTGCTGGTAAGGCATAGCAGATGGTCTCTCCTAAATTAGCAGCGGGGCAGCAACATCTATATATCTACGAGAGTTGTTGCTTCTAGATCCAAGGTCCATCCAAACTGCCGTGGTACCAGTACCCTTTGCAACATGGTAAAGAAGGATCACTAATATATCTGTCATTTGCTCTAAAACTAACCTGGGCATCTGTCATGGTTTCCTTGATATGGTTCACATGCAAAACAATTCGCGTGTATGCTTCCTCATGCTGACAGCCAAGTTAAGGTGCAATCTGCCGAAACACCGATCCTCTTTTTACTTCAAGTTTATAACACTCTTCTTCTAGTGCTAGATAGATTTCATGACCGTCTAACATTTCTTTGTAGGTGCTCTTTTCCCATGAAGCTGCAAGGAATTTGAAGAGTGATGTCATGAATAGACCGGAAGACAGTGTTTGAAGTTCTTTGGTCGTTTCTGTTCAGGCTCAGCAATAACAATGTTGACCTCCGCCGCACCACGTATGTGTCGTTCATTGTCTTTGATTAATGGACATGTACAAGTATCACACATAAAGTCCACACGTCTAGCATGAACACACAACTTTGACAGCTGGACTTCAGCCATAGGCAGCAGGGAGATCTGACAAAGATTTGATGAGAACCATTACATCTACAAGCATCTACTATGGAAGGTGGCTGACTGTTTACTTTCAAGTTTCTTTGGGAGTACTGTACAGACTTTCCTGTTTTATTGATTAATCCATTAAGATGAGCCAGAGATGCAGGTACAGGGGTGATAGGGTAGCTCAAAACTTAAGAAAGATTAATATATTTTTTGTGGCTAGGTATAATAACCTTCTAAATAGGTCTCTTGTTGCTTGTATCTCTGGGATCTTCATATCTTTCCCAGTTAACGTAACCTTTACTCCCTCTGTTGCAAAGTGCTTCACTCTAAGCCGTGGTATTGGTTTTTCAAATCCACTAGCATCATTATAACAGCCGGTTACGAACTCATCACACCACTTCTGGTCAATATCAATACATTGTGTCAACTGTGCTTTCACTTTTTCTGAAACTGCACAGCCAGTTGAAATGTAATACAGATTTACATCACTAACAACTTCAAAGTGATCTCTCATAAAAATAAAGTACAACATTTAATGACAAAACCTTATCACTCAGTTATAATACTAACCACTACATTATATTTCAATATTAATTATATAGAATGACAAAAATACACGGAAATGGTTAAACTTGACAAGCTTTTCCTGTAAACATAGAAAATATAGCTCTCACACTGTTATGTACAATTTTTAACCCTTTGTTACAGGTTTTTGGCCAGGTTGTATCAAATAAGAAATGGTATTTTGACTTACTTATGTAATATGCATTTAAAAAACACCATCAAACCTTTTGACCTCAGACGGGTGATTAACCCCCCCCCCCAGCTCTTGGACTAAAATACATACTTTTACTTTTATTTTTATCCTCTTCACCACTGATCGGCTCGTTAGCCGCTTGGGGGATCGATCAAGTCTCTGTTACGCACTGTTGGCAAGCACTGGGCATGTACCGGCTCCTGAATGTACCTGAACCTGCTCCAGTGTTGGTCAAGTCTGGTCTTGAAAGAGCTCACACTCGGTTGAAAATGTTCAAAGGAGGGCCACCAGACTGGTGCCTGCACTTCGGCACCTCAGCTACCCTGAGAGATTGGAGCGCCTGAACTTGCCTAGCTTATACTACAGACGGGCAAGGGGGAACCTAGTTGAGGTGTATAAGCATCTCAGGGGGCACTACTCAGTTGAGTGTCCTTACTTGGAGCTGGCGGACGCTCGCCCCACAAGGGGTCACAGCTCAAGATTGAAGAAGCCGCAAGTCCAGAAAACCGTGAGGGCAAACTTTTTTGGAGTGAGGGTTGTAAACTCTTGGAACAATCTACCAGAGAGTGTTGTGACGGCACTGAGTGTGAGCTCTTTCAAGACAAGACTTGACCAACACTGGAGCGGGTTCAGGTACATTCAGAAGCCGGTGCATGCCCAGTATTTGCCAACAGTGCGTGACAGAGACGTGACCGATCGCCCGCGTGGCTAGCGAGCCGATCTTTTGGTGAAGAAGATAAATGAAAAGGAAAAGTAATCAGAGACGTGACCGATCGCCCAAGCGGCTAACAATCCGGTCAGTGGCGAAGAGGATAAAAGTAAAAAAAAGTAAAAGTAAAAGTCACAACACTTTCACGTTTTAGTAAATCGTCGTCAAGAAGCTGGAGAAACTCTGGACCAGTACCTGCAAGCACTGAAGACCCTGAGTAAGGACTAATTTTTAAGCAATCTCAGCCGAGGGGGCACGCAACAATTACATCAGAGATGCATTCATTAACGGATCTTCAAGCTCACCAAATACGACAGCGCCTGCTTGACAATAAAACACTCGACTTGCAGACTGACTGCATATGAACAGGCCCATACATTGGAGATGGCCCAGAAGCAGTTTATTTCATATATGCAACCTGACACTATTAATGCTGCAATGGCGTCTCCAAATCGGGAAGCAATTTTATATCTGCCTCGAAGCGCTTCACCTACATCTGCCCCAACTGACCAACCTGAATAGCCAGTAAATGTGGCTGCTGCCAATCTGAAATGTTTCTTCTGTGGTCTTGGTAGACACCCCGGCTCTAAGTGTCCTGCAAGGGATGTACTGTGTCTCAACTGCAAAAAGAAAGGCCATTATGATAAAGTATGCCGATCTGCTAAGTTCACTTCTGCAGCCACCTCTGAATCATTCTCGACATTGGTGACACTTTCTGCTGCATTTCCTGGCCGTCTGTCAAGGGCTGTGATGAAAGCTAAGATAAACGGAGTTCCTGTCACTGCACTCGTTGATATCGGTAGCTCTGAAAGCTTTGTCAGCTCTAGTATTGTACGCATGCATGGATGGAAATTCTTGCCTTGTGTGGGAAAGGTGTCTATGGCAAATAGTTCTCTAACCTCGAGGGCTCTAGGATATTGTATTACTAATCTGGAACTCAATAACACTAAGCACAGTGATGTTAGACTGTCTGTGATGCCGGACCTCTGTAGTGATGCTATTCTTGGACACAACTTCCTACAGCAGCACCCAGCGTTTCAAATTCCGTTCGGAGGCTCCAAGCCCGCCCTGACGGTGTGTGGGCTTGCTGCTCTTAAAGTCCCATTTCCATCATTGTTTGACTACCTGACACATGACTGCAAGCCAATTGCAGTGAAATCGAGGCGTTATTCACATGGCGACAAGAAGTTTATTGATTCTGAAGTGTCTAGAATGCAGAAGGAGAGCATAGTCGAGTCAAGTCAGTCTCCATGGCGTGCTCAGGCATTGGTGGTCTCATCCGAAGGCCACAAACGGAGAATGGTGATAGATTATTCACAGACAATCAATCGTTTCACCTTGTTAGATGCGTATCCACTACCACGGATCGATGACATGGTAAGGGAGATCACTAGATACCGTGTGTTTAGTACGCTAGATCTACGCAGTGCATATCGACAAGTGGCTATCAAACAGGAAGATAGACCATACACTGCATTCGAGGCTGGTGGACGTCTTTACCAATTCTGTAGAATACCTCTTGGTGTTACAAACGGCGTTGTTAGTTTCCAACGCATAATTGATGACATTGTGACAAAGGAGAAGCTAGATGGCACTTTCGCATACATTGACAACGTGACAGTGTGTGGTCGCAATAAGGCAGAACATGACGCCAACCTCAAACGTTTTTTACATGTGGTCAAAAGGTATTGTGGGGTACGTGTTGTTTGGTTCACACTCAGGATGGGATGGAGAAAGGAAACTCACAATGTGCTCTCTGTATACATGTTGTATTGGATGTACAATGCAGCTTGGTGCTGGGAAGGCAGCATGGTTACAAGCGTTGAGTAGAGAGAGCTGGTTGGTGAGGGTGCTCAGAAGAGGACCAGCTTGTGGGTCGCCATGCTCGCCGGTGGGACCGAGGACCGCCAGGCAGGAGCGGAGGAGGTGGTGTTACTTGAGGACTGGCTGTAGGTAGAAAGAGAGAGGTAGGTCACCACGAGGTCAGGTCTTATATAGCGGAGGTAGGCGTGGCTTAATAGTTGACCTCCATCATGTAAGGCGGCGCTGGTTGACCTAGACCACGAGGCATACACTGGGGAATTCGCGGGGTCGGCTACTCAGCGACAAACAGCGTTTGTAGGGGAGGAATCCACTACAGTATAACCTAACGCTAAATGATGACAAACGCAACTTCTCTCTGACGTCTGTTGACTTGCTTGGTTACACAATTAGTGATGACACAATCAAGCCTGACCAGGAACGTTTGAGGCCCCTCCTGGACCTTCCTGTACCACATGACACACTCACTTCGACGTGCTATGGGAGTGTTTGTACATTATTCTCAACGGATTACTGGATTTCCCGAGAAAATCCACCCTTTGGCAGAGGCAAAAGGTTTCCCACTGTCACGTTTAGAAATCAAAGCTTTTGAAGGCCTTGAACATGGCATCGCTGGCTCAGCAGTGACTGCTATAGATCCAACATTACCATTCGTTGTGGAAAGTGACGCTTCAGTTACGCTATAGCTCCTTCATTGAGTCAGTCTGGTCGACCTGTGGCGTTCTTCTCAAGGACACTCACAGCTTCGGAGCAGAAGCACTCTTCTGTCGAAAAGGAGGCCTACGCCATAGTGGAGGCATTGAGAAAATGGAAACACTACTTAATTGGGTAGCATTTTCGGTTGATCACGGATCAGAGGTCAGTCGCCTTCATGTTCAACCCCAAAAGTTCGATCAAAGTCAAGAATGAGAAGATCACTAGATGGCGAATTGACCTATCATGCTTCAGTTACGACATTGTCTATCATCCTGGCAAAGAAAATGCCTCCGCAGATGCGTTTTCACGCATGTGCAGTTCGGTATCTGCTACAGATGATCTACAGACTCTTCACAATAATTTATGTCATCCAGGCGTGACAAGGATGATGCACTTTGTACGGAGCAGAAATATACCATACTCTATCAGTGACATAAAGGCGATAACTGCCACTTGCCCTACATGTCTGGAACTTAAGCCGCGATTCTTCAGATCAGACTGGTACTCTCATAAAAGCTACTCAGCCTTTTAAAAGGCTGAATGTGTATTTCAAGGGACCTTGTAGTGGATTTCTCCCCTACAAACGCTGTTTGTTGCTGAGTAGCCGACCCCACGAATTCCTCAGTGTATGCCTCGTGGTCTAGGTCAACCAGCGCCGCCTTACATGACGGAGGTCAACTACTAAGCCACGCCTACCTCCGCTATTTAAGACCTGACCTCGTGGTGACCACTCCCTTCTTTTCTACCTACACCAACCAGCAAGCAACACCTCCTCCTCCGCCGCTGCCTGGCGGCCCTCGCTCCCGCCGGCGAGATTTTCGTGTATATATTGATGTGTTACTTACGTAAGAATTTCTAGAATGTATTGCATCATTTTTTTATGATTTACTTCCCAGACCTGTTTGGATTGTGCTAAGATCGTCTGATGAGGAATACAAGCGGCAGCGGTAGTCGACCGTTTCTTCTCAGAGTGTGGAGGAGATAAACGACTTCATTAAGAGTCTATGCAGTTCACTGTATAGGTTCTGGAGTAGGGTCAAGTAATCTAATATGTCTCTCTATGGGGCTATAACCTGTTTATATTAGTGGTGTGTTTATAAAGATTAGGGCATGGCCAGTTGAATATAAACAATTGTTTTTGTTTTTTACTTTTATTTATGCGAACTTGTGACTTGAGAAGGGTGACCAGAAGGGAAGACGACAAAAATTATTGGGGAAACAGGGAATCCCAGTGCCACGGCATCCCCTCCTCTTGAGGTGCCCCTGCCGTTCACTATCGATCAACTGCATTTATGTGAAAAATAGAAAACGTAATAATTAAGTTTTCTTCTATATTAAATAGCACTGGACCCACAAAGGACAAAATCATTTAGTAGAAGGGAGAAATTAAACTAGTTACCGGCTTTTTTCTCAGAAAAATTAATTTGTTTGAAATATGCACTGTGCCATAAGACATCATGACAGGACCAAGGAAGTATTTTGGCAAATAAACTTTTACAGGACCTAGCACGGATAAGAACACGCCATCTATTAAGTGTAGGCAATATCCTCCAGAAATGGAAGAGCTAATTAAAGCAACAGGAAAAAACCTCATTTAACATTAATACTAATGTTTTTAATATGCATGTAGCAATTTTATATTTTATTAAAAAATATTTGAAAGTTTATATTTTCCATTGAAGAAAGATAAAAGCGGAACTCAGTATTCACCAAATTGAAATACAGATCATGAAATTTCCGATTCCATACAAAAACAAGAATTTAATACTGTACTGTTAATTGTGGCTTTTTCGTGTTACTGTAGATCATTTTTAAATAAAAAACGTGAAAAAAACTTCAGGGAGAATAGTGAAGTGTCAACCAGTATTAAAGTCTGCATCAGGTCTTGTTGTGACGCGTCTTATTGGTTGAGTGCCAGGCAGGTGTAAACAAGGCAGAAGGTACCTCACAACAGAAGGTACTTCAGAGTTCATACCTCACAACACATCCTACAATGTTCCTCTAAATACGTATCGTGTGTGTAAGTATAATATTATTCCTCTGTTTTACATCTCTATAGATCTAAGAAGACGTATTCCCTTTTGTGACTTTTTACGTTAAAACAACATAATTTTGTGCAAATTTGCGGTTTCTGTTAAACTGAAAATGTAATTTTTTATTTCAAAAAATGCTAATTTGCACAAAGATTTAAAGTCAGATTTGAGTAAAACCCACCCAAAATAACCTATTCTCATACTAAAAGAACAAACCAACCTAACCTAACTAAAAAAAAGTTATTTGCCTCAAAGATAAATGTCAGAATCATCTAAAACAGCAAGAAAACTAGTGAAAAAATATATTTTTTCTGTGAAAAAATGTGATGGGTGGTTAACGAAAAATTACCTAAATTTTTCCATAGAAACATGACAGGGATGAAGGAAGGACCTAACCTAACCATAAAAACCCGACCTCGGACCCCCCCCACAGTTCTCAGTTCATTGTTTCTTCAAGGGGATGTTGTGTTTTTTTTTAAGTCTCCATATCTCAGCTATTTCTCGTCAGCGCAGAAAGTGTCATAGAAGACATTTATCTTATTTTTGTTGGTTGCAAACAATAAAATAACAGAATTCAAAACCTGGCTACTATCCTAAAGTGACCTAAATTTGAGATTGTGGCAAAGCTGGCAGATTTTTCATGCATCACTGTTGATATAGGCTGCCAGTCAGGCCTCCTCATGTTTATTCTTATTTATGTATGTGCTTCCAGTACTGTTGATTTCACTAATTTTATTTGTATTGCTTAAGATTCATTTTAACGTCATTGCCAGTTTCTATAGAATGAGTTAATATTTTAATATTTGGACTTACAGATATAGGTTACGTAACCTTTCAACATTCTTGGATAGTCTTTATTTTGGAGGCAATGTCGAAAATTAAATTATTTACCATAAATATTGCAACGAAAAATCTGCCAAGTTGTCTGTCTGCTTGCTTACAACCGACCTGCTCAGTCCGAGCATGCCTCCACATCCACAAAAAATGTAAAATTACACCATGACCCTTCAACAAAGTTCCTTTAATTTTTACCAAATCTCAAAATAAGTACTTTGTTTAATATGGTGGGGGGGTCCAGGGGGCAGCGTCCCCCTGGCTAGGAAGTTAGGTAAGGTTAAGTAGGTTTCATTTGTTGGTTAGTTCTATATGTCTCTTTGAAATTTTCTCATAAATAGGGATTCTCCCCCAAAAAAGTCAGATTTAAACAAAGCACACCAAAATACACTGGAAAAATATATTTTCATGTAAAACCCAAAGGGGATGTTAAAATGAATCCTTCCCTTTGTTTTAACTATTGTGTATGAACTATTGTACTAACTCAAGCAGTTGTTGTTCCAGTATTGTGCAAGAATTGTACAGTGTTTGCCATCATAGTGGTACAGTTCAGTATTGCAGACTGCTTTACCTCTTCTTGGCTGATTTACTTATCCATGTGAGTTTGTTTTGGAAACATTTGATACCAGAATAGATAGATTATTAGTTTGATGAATTTATCTTTATTGTTGACATTTTTGGAATTGCTGCATGTGTGTGTGTGTACAGTACTGTAACAAACTTTTGTGAAGCTTAAAAGTATTTGAATATATATATATATATATATATATATATATATATATATATATATATATATATATATATATATATATATATATATATATATATATATATATATATATATTTTGCTTATGGGTCATTCAGCAAATGACCTATTGCTTGTAATATCATCTGCTAGAACACCCTTGGGTGAGAGTGCAATGTTCAGGAGGCAATATGTGCTCTTGAGGTAAGTACACTGTCTATGTCCATTTACATCAGTTCAAGTGCTGCTTTTATACAACTCAGGCTCAATGGTTGGGTTGCTTTAAAAGCTAATGATTGAAAAGATGAATGGGAGCAAACTCTTGAATTAGTTTGCTTGAACAAAGCCTTTCAATTGTTAACTTAAGTTTCAGACTTTGCTTCACACAGTCTACCTGCCTCTCTCAACTATCACCACTTATTATTATGCTCTGTCCATGCTTTTTAGGATTTTCTAAAAGTGAAATTTGTTTTACTCTGTCTGGGGCAGGATATTCTTTCTCTCTCTCAACTTACTGTACACTCTGAAACAGTAACAAAGTATGTGCACCAAGGTTTACCAGCAGTGTATTTTACATGGCCTTTTATATCCAGGCACATGGCATCTCAGGCAAAACATTGATGTGGATGAAACACTGGCTTCAAGGCAGACAATCTAGAGCGATACTAAATATAGTACAGCATACAATCTGAATGGAAAAAAAAATCTCAATGGAGTACCACAAGAATCTATCCTTGGACGTACCCTGTTTGATAATCTACATTGTCGATATTTATAAAAACCTAGAAAGTCATATAATCAAGTTTGTGGATGACATGAAGATATATGGGAAGGTGGCAGGTCAAAAAGATATTACAACTGTGCAGAAAGGTCTGTCCAAGCTTTTGAAATGATATCAGGACAGACAAATACTTTTTGATAAAGCGAAATTTAAGACAATACTGTACACTTGGGACACAACAACCTGAAACACAACTACAGGTACTGTAATATGTGAATAACATATTCTTGGAAATTCTTGATAAGGAACAATATACCCCCCCTGTACAAGGTAATCATTGTGATAGACCACAGCAAGTAGGAGCAGCAATAATATTAATAAAGAAAAAAATCGGGAATTATGAGTCATAGTTTCAAATACAAACATATGAAATTGCTCCTTCAGCTTCATAAGTCTTGTATGACCTCATTTGGATTACTGTATGCAGGCATGGAAACCATACCTCCAGAAAGACATACCTGGTAACATCTCAAGAAAAGGTGCAACACAAATACCAAGATTATTCTAGAACTAAAATATCTCAATTATCCAAGTAATTTGAGTGCCTTAGAACTGACAACTATTCAGACAAAGTAGATACGTTTAACTGTATACTTCATTCTTGTAAACAAGCTCATGGGTAGATGACATGCAGAGTGAAGATAGTAATGATGATACTGATGGTAATTTTGACTTAGGGCGAGGTAGTAATGGTGGTAGGGACTGTTTAGAGGTGGTACTAGAGCACACATGGAATTACGGTAATACTTATGGGTATTTTTTATAGTAATCCATTTTTTTTAAGGTGTGGCTTATATTTGGTAAGATATGATATACAGTACTCTATGTATATACAGTATATGGATAAATAAATATGCCCCAAAAAATTTCCACTTATGGGAATAAAGAGAAACAATTCATAAATGAAGAAGCTCACAAAAGCAGTAATAAAAGTTTTCATATCCAGATTTGCAGTTTTACCGAACTTCACATTTCTAATCCAACCTTGAAGATGTCTTAGCTTTTTAAATACTGTACTACTGTAGTTAATGCAGTACAGTACAATAGTTTTTTCAATTACTTCATTATATTAGTGCTACAGGAACTTAAAGTAATCAAAATATTTTTTTTTACTTGTTTCAGCGTACAGTATCCTGAACATGGACAAAATTAAAGTAAACCTGATAAATAAATCTGATTGAAAAATGATTTAAATAAATAAAATCACCAACCTTGGTATAAGAGATAAGGGCATAAGTTTTAAGTGGTGACAGTATTAGTTTACAGTAACAGCATCATTGCTTTGATATTTACCCTGCCGAGTACGATGATAATACATGAGTGTAATCTAACCTTTCCCTGCTAACATGAGCTGCCTTGTGAAACTTGTCATGTCTGGCATGGTTTTGTTTCCACAGATCTTGCTGTCTTCTTTGGAGTAAATATGAACCTTGCTTGTACCAGTCATGTTCTCAGTCTCTGAATTTGCTTTGATCAGAATGTGGGTCATGAGCTCAACGATTTTCATAATTGTCAGTCTCTGAAAGTTTGTCATACCTGCTGAACCACTTAAGATTCCAGTCACCCTCTGCAAAATGCAGTTGTTCCCCCCTCCCTCCCTCCCTCCCTCCCTCTGACGGACAGCCGAATGGCTGTTTATGCAGCCTTTGCACTGATCTGAAAGCAAATAGACCCTTGGACAAGGTTGGTTGTTATGGCAGGTCACTTCTCTCTTTCCCTACCTCTCTTAGTGAGGTAATAATATTACTTTTTACTGAATATTTTATTTGAATATGTATTGCCATCACTTTCAACAAATTCCTCGGTGTTTATATAGCATGGTCTTTTTTTATGTTACAGGTACAGTACTGTCATCTCAGTTCATTCCTTATCCTTAGTATCTTAGTCACTGCAGGCAGCTTATCTCTATTGCTTCAGTGTGGTGGCTATACTGTACATGAAACATTTCCCTACAACAGGAGTTGTAAACACTTTAGTATTATCATCATTGTTTTATAATATGAGCTGTATAGATAATGATTACTCTAGTATCTCTAACTTCCACAAGGATATTTTTGTTCTTCTATTTTGACACTTCATAAATTCTCTTCTGTTATTGTGCATGTCTCATTGGGGTGGAGGAGTTAGTTGTTGTGCCTTACCCCCTCCCCTCTTTGTGAGCCAGGGGGTACCCTCTGAACCATTACCCATGGAAGGAGATCTAGTTAGAACTGAAGTGCCAATTTAATACCACATGCTTCAGGTATGGGCCACCATCTTGGGGATAGATACTGTATACAGGTTACCCTATTTATGCCAGGAGTTGCTTTCCTAGAAAAGGCTGGTACTGTATAAGTGAACCTGGTATAAATAAATATGGGGTTCCATACTAAAAGGGTGGGGAGGAGGGGGGATTACATTCTGAGCCACAGTGGTTATCCTGTGTAGTGGACATTAATTTGGGCTTTTATGTCTTTCCTCTATACTGTACTGTACATCCACATCCTCTTTACTGATATGTAAAGTACAATACTGTATTTTTTTTTATCTTGGAGACATCTTCATCTGTTTGACATCTAAGGGACATTGTAACATTCATGATATTGGTGCCTGGGAACTGACTGCTTGGTATAAGTTCCAGAATGAGACCAAGGACACTACTAAAAGGAGGAGTTTTAGAGTTGGCATACGGTATTTTTATACAGTACCATCATCACTGTTTTATGGCCATTTTCCTCACTTGCCTGGGTTACCCTTCTCTTATGTTATAGTTAGATTAACTCTTTTAGGGTGTATGTCTGTTAAATGAGTGGAGCATTTGTAGTACTGGGTACCTCCTCCTTCCCTGTTTTAACTGGCTTTTAGTAATGAGCTGCTTGGTAACATGATTTGAACTAGAAATGGAAGATTGATCCTGAAAACCTATTTTCTAATGGAGGCCTAAGTCAGGCATCTTGGATATTTTCCCTTCTCCCTTGGGTTCATAGTCAGTCAACAGGAAGTAAATAAAGTTAAGTGTATTGGCCATGAAATCAAAGATGGTGTTCGTTAGCTGTGCATAAGGTACTGAATAGGAAGATCAGCTGTCACTGGATCTCTTGCCCACCAGAATGCAACTATTGCTTCTAATCTCCCCCCTGGAGGGCAATGGATATAAAGGGGAGGAATTGGCAACCATAAGATTATCCTCTGCTGCCAGGGGTTAACACTTCACTTGATGGACTACAATCCCTGACCATATTACATAAATTAGCAGCTTGGCTTTAGGGCTTACCTAAAAAAATTAATATTTCAGGAGCACTCTGCCATTTTTAGTGATGCTTTTGTCATATATTTTGGAAATACTGTAAGGAGTTAAGTTAGATCACCGGGTAAGTTTAAAACTTTATGGGAAGATAAAAAAAAAACGATTTACTAGTTATTATCTGTCAGATACTGTGTTAAGTTGATTTGATCAAAATTGGCTTATAAGATAAACTATTGCAATTATTATCAAACAACATCACTGTTGCAGCAATAGATTTACTGGTAAAAATAAAAAATTTCCCTCATTTTGTATTATTATATATAACATTATTTTAATTGATATCAACAGAAAAAGTCTATACAGGTACAGTATAATAATTTGGTATGAAGTAATTTTCAAATATACTTTTGTCTTAAAATAATTTTCTCTCATCAACCAGGACTGATGCAACTAAGTCGGTCTGCAGTATACACCATGTTGCAGACACACGCAGAAAAAGACCGCATAATTATATCCCTTCCACCTCCATTTATCAGACAGGTAAGGCTGTGTTGCTCAACCTGAGTTTTTTTGTTTTGTTTCTCGTTACTGATTATCAGAATAAGAGGAAACAGAGGTGATACATATTAGTACTGTGCAGTACACAGTATAAATATGCAGCAGGTATTGTACTTGATTTCCATGGGAGTTACATTTTTTAAAAATTGGCCAAATTAAACTTAACATTGTACAGTATGGAAGAAAAAGGTTTGTGCTCTTGAGTTTAAGGACATATTAAAGGTCTCAGCTGGTAAATGGATAGTTCAGTACAGTACTCAATGTGACACTGTTAGGATTATCTGTACTGTACTAAATACAATTACAGTACTGTACATAGATTGTAAACATATTTGTGCACTCTACTCACTGAAGTCTGTCATTCATCAGTATTTGTGGACAACCTGGTTCACCTGCAGTTTGTAGTGATCTTTTCAGACTGATTCCACTTAATCCCAAAAGATGTACCTGTAGTAGTTTCTTGCGTTGGTTAGAAGTTGTTGTCTCAGATGCTCGGTAAATACCTTCCACTAAAGTGCACACACATGGTCACAAATGGACGTCTGGAGATACTGAGTACAGGTGTGCTTTGATTTATGTAACATCAATTTATGAAAACTTGCCTATACAAAAAAAAAATGTTCCAGTGTTTCATTATACGAACAAAACCACACTTTTACAAAACAAAATTGTATGGTATTTTTTTGCAGCATTGGAAGATGCTGAGTTTCTGACACAGGCAGTCTGTGCTGAACATATACTGTATAATGAGCAATGTACTGTCGTGCAGACTAGTGTGTGGCAATGTTTCTGTACTTATATATTAATTAAAAAAAAGTGTGGTTTAATTGCATCTGTTTACATTGCTGGTGGCATGTTGCCAAGTTAGACTCATCATTGTAGCCACATCTCCCTAGCCCTTTCCCTACTAGGCTGAGTAGTGAGCTATGTTATAGTTATTTTTCGACTTGTAATGTTGAGTAGATAACATAATTTATTTATTTAGTTTTCTCTGTTACATGCACACACAATCTTTCATACAGAATATTAAAAACAGGAAGAATTATCATAAGGTCAAAAACGTAAAGGGAATAAACGTTTACCTGTATTCGTGTTTGGGAGTTAGCACTTAGACTAGGGAGGGGGGAGCGGTGTGGGGGATCTCAGCTGTTTGCGTGTCCTGTGTATAGTGAAACTTGAAACGATCACCAAATAGCAATTTTTATATATTCCTCATATTAACAAATGAATAGGGGTACCTACAGTAATAGTACTGTAAACGACTGCAAAGAAAGTGTTTATTCTATCCTTGTCCGAAGTGTCACTATGAGTGTGTTGGTGGCATCAGTTCAGAACCCCATCAAACTCCATGCACATTTGTGGAGTATTTTTTATGAAATGGTATTCATCTTTATAATATTATTTATTATTAATTTATCTGCCATATAAAGATGCTACTGTATACGTATTGATCGAAAAGTTTGGCTAACAGACCACCAAAAAAGAGGCAGAAATTTATAACTGACCACTTACAGTTTCCCTTAAGTAGAATATATTCTATTTGTATTAAATTAACTTGATACTGTACTGTGCTGCTTTATTAATAATGTTACGATTAATACATATTCTTAGAATTATCGTATCCCACAAAAAATTGCTTAAGAATATATTTTTATGTTTGGGAGAGTTATTTCCATAGGAATGTACAGTGTCTTCCTTTTTAATTATAATGGTAGTCAATGGGAAAAATGGCTTCGGTTTATGAAAAATCAATTTCATGTTTTTCAGGAATGTATCCCTTTTGTAAATTAAACTCTCTTGTATAATATTCTCATGTTGCCTTTTATGACCTGGCTGCTTGAAAATTAGATTGTGGTACTCATTTACCCTTTTATTCCTACCCAGATACCTAGTTCACTTTGAAGCAGAGTCCTTTGGAAATGCGAGATACGGTGCTGGTCATCCTGATGTTTCTGCCCCATTTCAAGTATCCTGAAGCAGACATAAGCCATATAATGATGCCATATGTTACCAACAGGAATAATTCACCCTCAGAAATTTCTCAGCTGTTAGGTACCAAACAAACACCATGGCTGAAGGATGTTTATTGCAGTGCATATCTGGCAGCTCCAAAAGTCATACCCATATGTCTAATAGATGCAAACATAATTATAAAAGTACATTGACATGGAAAGGAATGGATGCAGTTTTGATTAAAAATAGTTGTAAAGAAGAATATGATGATGCAGTTTAGCTTGAGTGTACTACTACTACTACTTTGCTATCACTCGGAATTGAGTATGACGATCATCACAGTTATGATCCAATGATATGAGTTATTAAGGATGTCACCTTCATTGGTGAGTTCTGAGGTGACTAAAGAGGCCGATACAAGACCGACAGGGTTGATCACAGATGTTACACATGTGGAGGGCTACATCTAGTGCGGGAGGGGCGGCAGCAGCGTCTTTCCAGCGTTGGAGCTCTGTAAGCATGTCTGCCTGATGCGTGGCTCCACCGGAGATTTTTCGTTCGGGGTTTACTCCTGTAGCCTTATACCTACCAAGGTTAATCCGCAAGGCAGCGGGGCGGTGGTTGGTAGGCGCCAGGACGTGTCCACATGCCAGTGGGCCTATGTGCTGTCCCTCTGGGGTCCACTGCTACTCCGAGATCCCCTGCTGGTCTAGCCTGGGCTCATGAGGCACCCAGTTACCGTGTGTTGCGACGAGGAGGCACAGCAGGAGTCTTGATGGTGAAGAGGCTGTGTACTGGCAGGGGAAGTATTATGCAAGTTGTTTCCCTGTTCGCCAAGAGAGCTAGCCAGCGGCGGTAGCTGAGAGTGAGAGGAGCAAGCAGTGCTTGCACCTTAACTCTTAACATAGTGCTGCCACATTAGATGCATTTTGCCACCCTGTCAGCACAGGGAAATGTCAGGAAGACATATTTACCCAACCTATTGCACCAAAACCTTTGACTGCCCCTTGTATGTTTGCAGAATTTTATTCTTTTCCCATTAAAATGTTCTGTTAACAATATGAAGTAGGGAGGCTTGTGTCATGTGATTTGGCTTAAAGGATAGTGAGGCTCATGAGGTTGAAGGGATGTTGATCTTTGTCTAGTTTATTTCTCCCGACACTTAAACACTCGTGGATAAGCCTTATGTATTGTAATTTTATATGAGATTAATAGCTTTAGTGGAAAGAAACTACTGTTGGTCTCATTATTAAAAGCAGTTATATTAACAAGAGTATTAGACAGTTCTCCACAGGTGTTGATGTCATTTCCTCTGGGCCACCAAAGGTAATTTTATAAGTTCAGTGCATTATTGTAATACAGTACAGTACAGTGCTGTACAGTACATGAGTAAACTTTAACCAGGATTACTGTAATTTAGTGCTGGGTATGGTGGCACAGTGATTGTGTTGCAAATTATGCATAACTGCTTCAACAATTTTCTTAAATTTATTAGTTACAGATTATCTGGCATTCAAACCTTAACTGTAGGATACATTTCAGGCTTCCCCTCACACCAATGATGACTTTGACGAATCTGTTAAAAATGCAGCATGTGGCAACCGCACTCTGCAGGCTGGCTTGAAAATATCCAAAATGATTGTTCTTGGGGATGTGGCCACTGGCAAAACCTGCTTGGTCAATAGGTGAGCAAGAGCAGTATAATTTGCATAGTAAATGTTCATATTATTTTACCAATAACCTTTACTCCTTCATCACTACTGTGCTTAGAACTTCTCTCATTAAGAATACTGAATAGATATTATATAATGTTGGAGATAGAACTCAGCCATGTTGAACTCCCTGCCAAACCTTAAACCATCTAATAAGTTCATTATTTATGAACACTTCAACTTCTCTTTCTAGTACAATAATTAATTTTTTTTAGATTTTTAACATCCCCTTTCTTAATGACTAATTTTTCGAAGACATCTTTAATTTTTTTATTTTATCCTATGAAAGGTTTTTTCAAATCAACAGAATAAATTTATGTACAAATATCTAAAGGGTTCTAAAGCCATTTAATTCAAAATTCTCAACCACAAACAGTATACAGTAGCTTGTCAGCTCCTTTACTTTTTCTAAAACTAGTTTAATCATCACATAACTCACTCTATTGTAGATTTACTTCTAATTAAAGTACTTTCTAAAAAACTACAGGCATGACTTACTTAGCTAATTGCTCTAAACTGCTGCATAAAGGCTCCTGACTCTGTCGGTAAAAACATAAATATTTTGTTTTGAGATTGTGGAAGTTCTCTTTTGACATAAATAGAATTGAATATTTTAGTAAAACATTTAATCCCGTTTCTGCTCATTTGGCGAAAAAATTCTGTAGTGTTTGAATGGGCACAGGAATGACAGTTGCTGCTATAGAAAAATGAAAGTTACTGAAAATTTTATAAAATCACTGTGGGCATTTTAGTCTAAGGGGTAATCTTATTGGAGCTCAAAACTATCATTGTCTAGAATATACTGACAATGGTGATCAGGCATTGTAATATTATTCGAGCTATACAGTATTAAATATAGATTTGTCTTCCAGGTTGTGCCATCAAGTTTTTGATGCAAATTACAAAGCAACAATCGGAGTGGACTTTGAAGTTGAAAGATTTGATATTCTTGGTATTCCGTTTAATCTTCAAATGTAAGTTAAATGACCATAGTTTTTATTTAAATCTCACTTTATTATAGGATTCTTTAATATATGTTTAAAGTAGCATCAACTGGGGTGAATCGGACCAGCAAATGACAAAGGTTTTAATAACTCCCTGATTTTTTTATTTTGTTTTGCTGAAATTTATATGGAATCATACCTACACAAAGCACTTGTACAGTTTTTGTTTTAACAGCTATTGTAGCTACTTATTGAATTATATAGGAGTTATGTGGACTGATTCACTTGCAGTTCTGGAGCAAAGATGGACCAGCACTGGGGTGATGTGGACCAGGAACAGAATTCCTTTAAATTGTTGTTTTCTTTAGTATTTTTTTGTATAATATCTTGCAAAACATCTTTCACATCTCTCTACACTACACACAACATTCTATTTTTCAAAGTTTTATTTATTTTTTCCCACAAAGCTGTGCATTTTCATGAGCGTTCTCCAATTACTGTGTTTTTTGCTTGTCTGTGCTTGTTTGATAAAAAAATAAATAAAATCATTACATTACTCTAATGTGTTTTAGAAATAAAGAACATATAATATAAAACTATAAAATAAGAAAAATGAGGACTATGAGTGTGTGTGTGGAGTGAATGTGCATGTGGAGGCAGTGAGCTGTAATTGCATTGCTGAAAGTCAGCTAGCCAAGCTCCTGCCCCCCAATGTTATGTCAAGGCATACTGTTACGTGCATAGTAGGTTAGAACTACCCTTGACAACCAATTACTAAATGAGCTGTATACCCCTGCCAGACGTACTGTAAATGAGTATGTATTCTTGACATATATATTGTATAATTTCATATTTTTCCTAACTAAAATTACATTGTTTTGTTTTGGGTGTGAATAGTTATAATATTAAAGTCGGTAACACTGTAATAACATTAACACTGAGACGTTGGTTCAAGTATGATGTTTGGGTCAGTCTGCTCAGTCAGCAACCCATATAAAGCCGAGGGTTTCAGAGTCGGCTTGGGTAACCTCCGGACCTTTAGACTGGCCTGTGTTGTCAGTTGACTTCTGTCTTTGATCAATCAGGTGATGTACTCATGGTCTTCATTGTTGAGGCTGGCTGGCTGTATGTAGAGTTTTATGTATTTTTGGTCTTGAATCGTGTGTTGATTTAGTTGTCAGTGATATTGGCAACCTTAAAGTAATCTAGTAAGTTCATGTGATTAGCTTTGTCTTTGTTATTAGTGGTAAGCATTTGTAAATATAGTTATACTTTTTATTAAAGTTTCTTTACTCCAATCATCAAGTATTCATTTATGAAAAGGGGTTGCATTCAATCCGTACATTATGCCGTGGTTGGAGTTGTTCTCGATACAAATTAAGAACCATATATTGTAATTCTCTTTAAATACCTTCACTTTTTGTTTGTTACGAGCCTTACCCCTTTGACACGTAACAATACACACACACACACAAACACAAGCTGTGAATTAATTTCATTGTTTATCATAGCAATTTTTGTTAATTTTTTATGCATTTTGAAATTTGGTCAAATTAGGCATGGTCCACATTTTGATCCAACATAGGTAAAAAAGGAAGATTAATTTTTTACCACATTTTTTTTTTTTTAATCTTAAGCAAATTTTCTAAGAGTATTGTGTCCAAACTGTTGTTCTTCCAAAGTGAAATTCACAGGCAATTAGTGTTTGGTTGTTTTCAATGTAATTGGCAGGTGGTCTCTCTATGTAAAAAGTTCATGTGAGTGAGTGTAGGTAATGAGGTGTGGCACACTGATCTGATGTGTAGGATGGCAGTCAGACTGAAACACGTGTGGTGTACTGCGCAACACCCAGGCACAGATGGTCAACCGCATGCACTAACACACAGACCGTCCGGACTGATGCTGGATTTTCTGGACTTTTTATTTTTCTTGTGATTAGAGGGGTGGTTGTGAGCACCTCAGAGAGTCTGATAAAAAGAGAAGTCTGGTGTACAGAGGGTCTATTGTACAGTACTGTACAGTATATGTTCTTCATTCCAGCCACCCTGAAAAGCTTGCAAGATTGAAAAACTTTCTTGTTAAGCTTGGTGCATCCATTCCATAGATGAGAAGAGATTAAGGATAACTGATTGATAAATTTTTTTATCCAAAGTTTATTTTAATTATTTTTATATTTTATTTAACAGTTGGGACACTGCTGGGCAGGAACGGTTTAAGTGTATTGCTGCCTCATATTACCGTGGTGCACATGGTAAGTTTCTTGAGCATCTCACTGAATCCTAACATTTTCATACCACCTGTACAGCATTTTTACCATCTCCTCCTCCTCTCCAAGGCAAAGGTGTAGGGCATCAGGGGGGGACTTCTCCATTACACTATTTGTTATAGAATAATGTAATTACTGCATTGTGTAAAGTGTAATACTGTACCATAATTTCATACAGTAATAATAAAAAGATATAATTTTTAGGGGTGAAAGTAGACATTATTAAATGACATGAGTATAAAGGAATTCGTTGACAAATGGCAGTGAGAGAGTGAGAAAGAACATGTACATGCTTGTCAATAAATGATTCATCACTTCAACTTAGCTATACTGTATAATTTTTTTATGCATTCTTACAGTTACTACTGCTGTATATACTTATTGTGTTTATATCATATGGGTGTAGATGGACATGTGGCTAGCTGATGAATTAATGAGCGTTCAGTATACTGTGATAATGATCAAAACTGGATGTTCTCAACAATATTCTACCTTAGAAGATCAAAATCTATGAACATCAATCCCAAAATAAGTGGGCATTTTTTGGCTTTATCTACATAAGAATTGCATTGCTGATATTTATATTGTTTGCTTCTTTACAGCGGTAATGGTTGTGTTTGATGTCACAAACATTGTGACACTAGCTCATACAGCTCAGTGGTTGGAGGAGGCGCGACAAGCCAACCTAAATTCAAACCCCCTTGTCTTTCTGGTGGGAACCAAGCGTGACTTAATGGTAAGCTTGTTCATATGTACTTAATAGATAGCTTTTCAGTTTTAGAAGAATTGAAGTCAAGAGAAGATATTGAGTATACAGTAGACTCGCAACTTACGCGAGGGCTACGTTCCTGGGACCTTGCGTAAAGTCAGAATGGGATGATTTTTTTAGGTCTGGTAATATTGTCCTCTTCGCTGATGCATTAGGGTCGTCTTTTCGCTGATGCATTATGGGTCCTGTGTGTGTTTGTTTACCTTTGTTGGCGCCAAAATTAATAGTATACCTGCTCTCATCATGGACATTTTTTCCTCCAAAGAATCCAGGGCAAGTCCCATATCAGAGAGAGAACGGGATTTATTAGTATATTTGATTGGGGAGGAGAAAATATTACAAAACAAAAGTACGTGTGGGAAGCTTGTTTCGTTAAAGAAGCAAGCATGGTCATTGGTACTGAAGTGGATATGGACCTGTCAATCAATTTAATTGATGAGGACCACAGTTACTATGCTCAAAGCATGCCTTCCACAAATCTTGTGCATGAGATTAGCTTCACAAATCCTGTACCAGAGCCTGCCTGCAGCAGAAGCCGTGACATACCATTGCAAGACAAAAATTTGCAACCTAGCCCCTCAACGTCCTCTCAGAAAAAGAAAAATAGAACGTCATTATTTGATGAAAACTAGTATGACCGACCCACCCAACAGGAAAAATAGAGCCAAAGAAGAGGAAGAAAATAATAAAATATTTTGGAGAACACGGCAGCAGTTGGTAGATAAACAATTAGAAGAAACAACGATCAACATTCAACTTGCAAATAATCAGAAGTTGCATTCAGATTTTGAGTATCAGCTTGTAAACATAAAGATTCAAGTTGAAAAAAAAGTCAAAATGATGGGAAATAATTGTGTACAGTACAGTACAGTATAGTATTAAATGACTCTTGTATTGGGTGTTCTCTCAGTCACCCTTGTCACTGTTTAAGGGTTAATAGTGCAATCAGTTAACAAACAACAAAACCAAATGTAATTCACTAAATAACTTGTGATTTTCTACCTAACTATACATTATTTTAACCTAACTTAGCATAAATTATCACATGCCTTGGGCGAACTTACTATTACTGAGACAGGGGAAGCTGCTGTGAAGTCCTCTATATTAGCCAAAATACTGTATCATATACTGCATGCTTATTTCACATTTTCATTAAATAATCAAACTCCATCTTTCAGTGAACTTGTTTTATTATGCACCTAATTCAGTATTTCACATATTATATCATGATACACTGTATCAAAGGTGTTTTTGTATGTTATGTTACCATCCTTGTAACAATGCCCTCCCAGTGAAATTTGCCTCTACCCATTTAATATTTTTAGGCATAAACCTCTCCTGTTTATATTTTCCAGATAGAAACTCACTTATAAAACTGCTAAAAAGTGGCATTAAGTACCTTAAATGGACTTACTTTATTAATATATACAGCATAAAGTTTGGAGACGATTTTCTCTCAGTAAAATTTGCCTCTATCCATTTTAATATTTCTAGGCAAGAACGTCACTAGTTTATATTTTCCTGACAGAAACTCACTTATAAAACTGCTAAAAAGTTTAATAGATTGCCGTAAATGTGCTTACTCGATTAGTACTAGCGTTAGTAAGATGAGATGACTCCAGCTGCTTGCATTTGGCAATAACAGATTGACAGGCAGCACAGCTTTTGCGAAACTCGTAATATGACGGGGAACACAGCTTTTGCACTGTCATAATATGGGCCGTAAAACCAATCATGTAAAAAAAAAATACATTTATAAAATTACCAATACGTGTTTCTTTGTACATTAATCGTAATGACTATAAATATTCAATAAAACTAACAAAATAATTATGAAGAGGGTGACGAAAAGCAGCTAATAGCTACCTCTTCAAAGTTAAGTACTATTAGTTCGTTTTCATGTCACAACATTCATTCGTGCACTGCAGTAAAAGGTTCTTCACAATTAAAAATACGGCTTTTGACATGAGGACATTCTTCAAGGGGAGATGTTCAGTAATACAGCTGTAATCATCATGGTGACAACAGTTGTTGACAACCAGATTTAGATGTCTGATTTTCAACCCAGAGAGTTCTGTTTCATATTTTTTTATTGTTGATGTAATAATTTTTTAATAACCGTTTTATACAGTTAAAGAACTTAGTTGTTGAAGTGCAGTAGCAACATTACAATAACTGATTTTCTTTAAACAATTCAGATAAACAGTGTTATCTCCAAATACCCCCCATATATTTACTTTTTGGGGGACTTTCTCATTTTATGGACTGGGGTCTGCCCCAATTAGTCCGATTTATCAAGGTTCTGCTGTACCTTTTCTTCATTCTACTTCAAGAAAAAGTAGAAGTACTGTACTTCATGTTACTTCAAATCAAACTAAAATGTTATAAGTTTAAAAAGTATTCAAGCACTTGAGGTAAAAGTATCACTACAATAAAGAATTTGTTAAAGAATTAAGACGATATGTAGTGCCAATACTGCACTCAACAAACTAGATAATTCTGGTTCACCAGGCTGCTGCCCATAGCCTGTAAGCAAAAAGATCCCAATAATGATAATAATAACAACAGTAAACTTGGTTTATTTTAAATGACTCAAAGCATTACTGTGTTTGCTTGAGGAAAATTAAACACCAATAATTATAAGTAGGTACGTACATATACTGTTCTGTACTATGAAGTGAGGAATATAATCCCATCATTTTATGCATGTTCAGTTAAATATTTATAACACATACCTTTCATTTAACCTCAGTTAAGGTTGATTTTTAAAATTTGTATACTTTTGTAACCCCTTTTGGGACTCGGTCCTCAGTATGCACATAATACTGAATTATAATTGGCAGAAACCATGTTGCGCGATCACTGAGTTCTAATTGCCTGGGAAAATATCACACTCACTGCTTAGGCACCCAGAATAAACTAATGAGATAACACAAGGCCCATCAAAATAAGTAATGAAGTATGAGTACTGATAATTGTCTGAAATGTTGCTCAAGTAAACGTACTGAGAAAAAAGTTACTCCTGGGTAACATATTCATTTGAGCTAAGTAAACCATTCACCTTTATGTGGATGAAGTCAAGTTACTGTACATATTTTACTTGATGATAAATGAGTAATTTGTTTAAATTTTTTTGTATAGAATGTTTAATTAATGTAATTTTGCTTAAGAGATTATGTACTGTATGTATTTACAGGATAATTTTATTTATGAATATGTAGGAATTCTAGAAATAGCTGTGATCCCAAAGTCACAGACACACATAGGGTGGGGATGGAAATGATAACAGTAGGATCCCAATCAGATTGAATTAAGCTTTTTTACCACATTTTATTGACACTAATCAATTTACAGTACTATGTTTATTCTAAAAGTTCCATGACAGTTCCCATTATATTTTTGTTTAGTTTGGACATACATATAGATGCAAAGATTGATAGTTTAATGGTTGAACATAAGTTAATCTTGAACAGAGTGAAGGGGCATATAACCAGATTGAGGCTCAAGCCAAACGTGTTGCTCAAGGCTTAGGAGCAGAGTACTGGGCTGTGTCATCCAAGACTGGAGATAATGTGGAAGCTCTCTTTCTCCGTGTGGCAGCACTTACCTTTAACCGAGCTGTGCTTCAGGAGGTCCAGGGTTATGATCTTCAGAAATTTGGAGACTCTTTCAGTAAGTATTCAAACACCCTGCTTATTTTATTTTTAATTTGTATGTCTTTACTAGTTTGAGAAGTAAATGAATGTCAATTGTAAATGTTGAACCATTTATATTTTTGTGTTCCTCTTGGTTACTGATGATCTTGAAGTAGATTTTGTATTTTGTCCCTACTTGGTATGAGAGGAACATACAAACCAATATACAGTACTGTACTGTACTGGTAAATACAGTAATCTCTTGCCAGCCATGGGTCTTATGTTTTAGAATTATTCCATGATTAGTAAAACTGTGGTTGGCAAAGGCGGGGGAGGGGTGGATTTAATGGGGTTTGGCAAAGTGACTCTTGACAGACATACAGTACCTTTTATGAACATGATACAAAATATGAATATCACATACTGTACATACATAAAGATGACTCAATGAAGCTACAACAAGGGTGACCACATAATGTAGTCTTAAAAATTACTGTATCAAAAGCTGTGATGTACTACAGTAGAAATGAAGACCAGTTTCTTCAGGTCTCGGAGTTTTGCCGGAGACCTTTCGTGACCACAATTTTATATATTGATTTTCAGTTGTTGGGAGGGAGTCTGGGAAAAATATTGGGTTTTCCAATTTTTTGGGGGGTAGAAAATTTGTGTCACTATCAGGAAATCTCTCAAACCTACCTGGAACTGCTCTGTACCAATTATTCCAGCTAATGGGGAGACTACTTACTGATAATTGAGTCATTTTTGCATATTTTTACTCCACATTGTTGGTAATTGGGAAGGGGGGGGTGTCATATTTCCATAACTACTGTATATATACAGTGGGGTATGCTATAACGAATCTAATTGGTTCTAGAACCTTGTTCGTTATAGCATTCGTTCGTTATAGGATTAATCCGTTCCAGGCCCCCAAATACAACCACTTAACACTGAAAAATATAATATAAAATTGTAAAAATTTTAAAAAATTGCATAAATATGCATCTAAACCCCTGAAATAAAGAATATCATTAATACTTGTAATAAAAAAACCAATAAATTAGTAAAAAAAAAAAAAATTCGTTGTAGGAGTTTCGTTCGTTATAGCATTCTCAATTTTATAGGTAAAACCGTTCGTTATAGGAATATTCGTAGTAGAATCCATTCGTTATAGCATACCCCACTGTAAATCTTTTGGTGGTTGATAAATATTTCCATGGCTAAAGGTAATATTGACCCACCATCATCCAGTGATTTGAACCCCTCAAAAACACTTGTTTGAACTGAGACCCTAATTTTGTACTGTATTAGACAAATTTTCCTAAAAACTCATTTTATGCACAGACATCATCCGAAGAATAGGCCCCAAAAATGCTTGCCCAAAGATTTGCTACCCCACCTTAACCTACTTGCAGTTTAAGCACCATGATGATACCTGGGGGCTACTGTTTGGGTGATGGTGGACCTTAGAACTCATCTGAAGATGAACCCCCTTATTTGAATTGAATTTAACCACTGCAACACAAAAGAATGCACAGTGAGATTTTTAAAGTACTGTAGTTTGGTTACAAAAATACAAAAGAGGCAACTCCAGTCATAACTGTTAATGATGGATCCTGGCTGAAACACTGCTATTTCCTCAGCGCCAGATGCTGGTTTGGTGCTTTTGATAACAATACTGAATTTTTTTTCATTAATATGTAGTGTTACTTGTGGTGCAGATCTTCGGGTGACTGTGGCCTCTGTAAGCACCTGGAGAATGGTTCTTCCTAGCTTATCCCATTTGAAGTCTGACCACTCTGATGCTACCTGGGTGGCTATTTTTCAGGCGATCCATAAATGCCAATATTGTGAAAGGTCTTGGTCTTGACTTCTAAAGGTCTTGGTGTCGGACATGGTCTTGCTACCAGTCTCTTATCTCAACAGTCAGGTCTAAGTCTTGATTCTCAGTCTTGGAATTAGTGGTCTCCACTACATCACTGATCAAAAGTATAAGAGGTTTCAGTCCATCCTCTAGCCATATAATGATTTCTCCACACAATATGTTATTTGTACAGTAGCTAAAACAACTATCTGTGCATACTTTGCGGGAAACAATATGAAACCATGGACAATAAATTTTGGTATATGAGGGCTGTCACTAGTCGCACGTAAAATTTTGGAGTATATTGACCCCCACCAGCACAGATAATTGTTTTAGCTACTGTACATACTGTACTGTACAGTATGTACAAATAATCACTCCGAGATAATGTAATGTATTCACTTAGGAACACTTACTAAGGGTATGGATGATGTGGAGGAAAATATACTTCCCGTGTGAGACAACTTCCCTTACTTTCCATTCATGTTTAACTGGTTTTGCTTATGGCTACTGCTTCTTTTTATTTTGGGACCTCAAGTAAGGCTGCCACAATGCATTAACTGCCTGATTCCTTGATAAAGGGCTGGAATTAATGTTCTGTGTTTTATCAACACACAATAAAGATAGGTATACCATATAATATCCAGGAATTACAGGTACTTTAATGTATTTTTGTCGGCTAAAGAAAGTAAAAATTTTCTTGTATTTGTAAAGTACAAATTTTCTCCAATGTTTATATCTTAATTGTAATATTAAATTCATCTCCCTCAGAAATAGGTGAAAAACTGGACAATGCTTCTGAAGCTCGCAAAAAGTCCAAGTGTGCTGCTTGTGGAAAGTAAGTTACACCTTATTTATGAAAAAACAATACCTCAATATTTTGTAAAGCTTGATCTCAATTGACATATTACATTATTCATTAGAGATGTACTGTTTAGATGTTTTGTCTGCATTGATGATAAATCATTGTCATTATTATGTAAACTTGATGATACGCCTAAAAAATAGCAAGCTAGTAGGCCTCAAAATATACTGACTTTCGTTCTTTTGACGTTGTGAAGATATTGTTTCCTGATATTGGTGCCATCATTTGATAAACACAGTGAAAGAAGCACAAAGCTAATTATCTCTTTCTCCAGTACAGTACTACAACTCCATGGTATATATACCAAGTTCTTATTCATGGTCTACTGAAGATTCACTAGGTGCACTTACTTTGGCTTTCCAAGTGACATAGGCTTATGCACATTGCTAGGTGTCAGTCATTTCATATCAATCTAGTTTTAATATTTAGAGTGTATAAAAAGGTGCTTCATGTATTTTGCTATTAGTAGGGCTATTTGGGTTGGTAAGTATAGCCTCAGATATATTTTGTGATAATTAATATGAGAGTAAATCCAGTATTTTGGGCATTTTATCTCTATTGATTCATGTTCTGAGTATATAATATGGATTGTAAGATACACTGCTGCATTTCCATGTAAGCATTGTTAATACGATACTTATGTTTCATTCATATTCATAGTAATCTTGGTTTGTGTTTATTAAGTTTTGTATAATGAATGGATTTGCCTTTTTGGAGAAAGGGGCTATCTACACCTGCATTGTGATATTTGTAGTTATATGATATCCTCTTACAAGTGTTTTATACAAATACTTTTGCCTGATGAAAGGAATCACTGCTCAATTGTAAGTATCAACAGGTTTTACTTTTAATTTAAGGATTTACCAATGGCTTCTGAAGGTTTGTCATGCATACCTTTAGCATGTTATAGGATAATTGTTTAAAAATACATTATTCAGATGATTATTTGTACAGTATGCTGTAGTCAAATTAAAACAAAATATTGTATTTTTTGTGCTTACTGCATTTAAAAATAAGGTATGCTGGACAGTTCTTGATATCTTTGTTCACATATTACCTGCATTAGTACTGCAGTGTTTCACTAGTGGCTGAGTTAGCCTGACAGAGTGCCCAAACTAGAATCCATGGCATAATGTACACACTGCAATCCTTGTCAAAGTGCTTTAATATTATTTTTTATATAATGTTCCAATGTTCAATGCATATATATATCAGTGGCATACCGTGGTTGCACTGATGAGGCATGCAGAACACCCACACATATCAGTTATCAAATCAAATATCAAGTAGGATATGGCCTTTCTCTAAGTAAGGGTTGTCAAGCTTTTATAAACACCTATTTTCTTAAATTATATCAGTGGCATCTGACAAAGTATCTATTATAAATCATTAAATAAACGGTGCAAAAATACTTATGGCAAAAGAATATTAAGCTTTCAGTGTGATCTACAGTACCTAATTAAGAAATAAAGTAGTTAAAAAATGACTAGGCATCATGCACAACGCTGGCCCTCTGTAAAGTTGCCAATGATCTTATTGCTGAACATTTAAATAATGAGTAAATATTTTTCTTTATATGATCTGATTTTTATTTCAAGTAAAACAGAAAACTGAATAACTTACCCAAATGAAAAAAAAAACTATAACTGAAAGCGGACTGTAGGGTTATTTAGAAATATTAAAGATAATAAGGTGGACCAGTTTTGTCCAGCCTTTCGACAAGTGAATGCTGTTTTCGAAGTGCATGCATTTGTACCTCTTACATTTACAGAAACCTTATTAAATAGCCACTCTTATGGAACAACAACTCTTAGGTAATATAATATCACCGTAAAGACTTTATGCTTATCAAGGGAAAAAAGTATTAAATTTTACTAAAATGGCTCAAATTCCTTATGCTCCAACTCATTAAAGTTCATTTTAGCATGTTATTGATAGGATGGTTACATCTATATGTTCATTGAGGGCATGCGGCTTATTCTTCTGCATGCATTGAGGGATGCTGAGTCTCCTCGACTTTCCGGAGTGAAAACTGTGAACTCTTAAAATTAAATCTGTATTATTGAAGATACTACAGTATTTAAAAATATATTTTGTTTTCTACTAGGCATGCAATGCATCCCTTACAGTCATTAAGAATATGCCACTGCTATACTGTATATCATGTTTCATCATCTTTACAGGACACGTGTTCCCACAACACAATGCACCATATCATTTGTTAATACAGTAAATGTGCCATGATTCATCGTAGAGTTTACGTGTCATGATCATTGATAAAGCACAAGTGCCATACCTTGTTATTGACAGTGCATTACAGTAAATATCTTTTACAGGTTGTGAAATTCAACTCCATGTTTTATATAGAGCTCCTCCCCGACTTACGACGGGATTTGGGACCCAAATCCAGGTCATAAGTCGAAAATGCTTAAATAATACATAGAAAATGTAAAATGGGTGTCTCTTTTTCTTCTCAGCCCCACTAAACTCTCACTTTTAAACTTGCCAGCCATTTTAAAGTGAATTACAAACGAAAATTTTGTCAGTACACAGCGCAATCACCACCACACACGCAAAGGAGCTTATGGGAAAGGGCGATGTGACTATTCAAATTAAGTCAGGTCAAAAATATGGGACCCACTAATCATCTATCCTACATCTAACTCCAATGCTTTAAAAGCATTTTTAACCTTGGGCCACTGACAAATAAATTTGTGTAACATATCAGTTTTGTACTGACCATCACTAAGGTTTATAGAATTCAATTCCCTAATCAAACTAGCTTCAACCAGAAGTCTCTCTGTGACACATGATGATTTGTACAGCTTAGAAGTCAAAAGCGAGTTGGACAAACAAGCGTTGGGCAAGGGTTCACTGTACTATTATGCTTCTGCCAAGTCTCACTGCTTCGTGTATGCTCGCTCTTATCTACCAATCAGAATACATCCCCACACTTTTTTCTTATCATTTTATAGTTTTGTATTATATTTTACTTATTTTTATATACAGTAGAATGTGGATATAACACGAGATACATTCCAAGAGAGGTCGCTTTAAACCGAATTCGCACTAAATCGAAGTGTTGTTTCAATGGAATAATTTAGTTTGATATTTGAGAGAAACACAAAATACTAAAAAGACTGACAGTCTACCCAGATGCACCTCAGCCCATCTCCTAGAATAAACAAAACATTGTTTTTTGTAGTACAGTATTATATTCAAACAAACACTCATAAATCAACACAGCTAAAATTAAGGGAGGCAAAATTATCTGTTTACTGGCTGGGAAGATGGGGTGATATGTCTGACAGTTAATGCCAAGGTCTAGTGCTTATTTATTTATCTGTCCTTAAGAGTGACTTTAAGTTTTTCTCTTATAAAATGGCACTGAACTGACCTAGGAGAGTATAATTAACATTGCTGGAATTCTTATAAAATAGTGTAATTAGTTTGAATATATACATGCTATAGTTCGCATTAGAAATACAAATTTTAGTTTTAATTGATTTTATTACAAAGGGCTAAAATTTGTATCTCTTGTGCAAAATATATGATGTTTATATTCAAATTATTCGCTGTCTTGCAAGGATTCTAGCAATGCAAATTATATTCTCCTAACTTTAGACTGTGATATTATATAAGAAAAAACTGTAAGCTTATAACCATCCCAGGCTGGGAAGATGGGGGGAGAGGGGTGTGACAGTGACACGTTTGACAGTTGGGGCCGAAGGTCTAGTGAAGAATTTATTTGTTTATTTATGTCCTTTAGCGTGAATTTTTTTTTTTTTTTTGCTTATAAAATGTCACAGAAGTGACCGGGAGAATATAATGTACATTGCTGGACTTCTTATAAGATAGTGATTAATTTCAATATAAACGTGCTATAGTTTGCACTGGACAAAAATTTTAGTAATCATTTAGTACATTATTTTTAGTACAGTACATGTACAATCCAGCTTTGCCCTTAGGCACGAATTTTAAAATATGATGCACCAGATTGACTTGTGCAAAATAGGAAAGATTCGCTTTAAATTAAAACATTGTTCCTAATTGTGGGTTTCGCTTTAAATCAATAATCATAAATTGAATCGCTTTATATCGACGTTCTACTGTAGTATATATTATAATGAACATTGAAATAGTTTTTCCACAACTCTTATGGGTTTTTTTTTTTTACAATTGTAATTCAGGTTGTACCTCTATAGTCCGGCATTGTGTGGTCCTTAAACTCCTGTGGTTTGGCACGATTTTAGTTTGTCTAATAGGTAGATAGCCAGCTTTTTTTTTTTTTTTTTATATACTTATCTGCATTATTATTAGTATCACAGGAGTATTAAATTTTTGCCCCTCAGGCCCCAATGTGGGTCAGTGACCTATGCCCGGGTGGGCTAATCCCCATAAAAAAAAACAACAACAAAGCCGCGGGAAATTAAGGTTTGTTTACATCCAGCAGTTCGGCTGCTCTCTCTCTCTCTGCTTGTCTATACAGAGTACAACATTTAACCCTTCAATATATATGAGCAGTAAATAAGTGTTGCTTTCATATTCTTATGTAGAGTAATGACAATATGTTTTCACATGTGCGCACTTACATACGCGCAGTCTCACTTTTTTTTCTTTACCATTAATGGTTAGCTTCTTATATTGTTCCATTTATTACATTAAATAACATTACTTCAAACAAGCATATTAATTTTTTTACATTAATTTTACTACAGCTACAATCAGGGTCTTATTTTCTTCAGTTTTATATGTAGAACCAATCAGTCACTGGTTTTGTAATCAACGAAAACAATGCTGTGTCATTTCTTTGTGTGTTTTAATATTCTACGTATTATTAATGAATTGTATTGCCCATTTTGCACGCATAAACATTAATTCAATCAAGAAGACATTCAGTAATAAACAATAATGAATCTTTTGTACATAAGAGAAATGACGCTGTTTACATGATTGTGCACGTCGTCTGAACGTTGGTGGGCCGTTCAAACACGTCGAAATTCGAGTTTCCGCCGTCAAAATTTTAAATTTTGTTTTTTGGTGTGTTCAAATAAAAAACGTCGAATTAAAAACTTGCGAAATTTGAGAAGCTACTGTACGACATTTGACCCTTCAATATGTCTTCAAAGAGACCATGAAGCAGAGAAAGTGGTGCTAGTGCTTCCAAGCATAAGCACAAGTCACTATCTATCCAGGAAAAGGGTGAATTTCCATGGTCCGGCACCGGTCAGGTCCCGAGGTTGCCGGACTAGAGAGGTACAACCTGTATACACATTCATCTCCCTGCTGCCTGGAGAGATACCAAGCACATTAAAGAACAAACTTAGGGTGAATTAGGGAGGGATGATCATACTTGTCTCGGCCCACACAAGATGTCTCTTATTGGACGATAATAATCGTCTAAACCCTTATTGCAATTTGATAATTCACAAGGTCTTCTAGTACTGTACCTAAACTGCGAATTATAAAGACTCCACTGTTCAGTACAGTAATTGAATATTTTAATAAATTTTTCATGTATAAAACATAAAGCCTTTTCGTGCCATTCACGGGTTTGTGATTCGCGATTTCATTGATTTGCGGTTAGCAGATGGTGGCTAGCTTGTGAGCCTTTTCCTGCAGCACAATGAGTCACCCCATGTGCCCGCAGCGTCTCCTCTCCCTCTGTTCGCGCTCAACCATTGCCTGTGACGCAGCATCTCGTGTTGTACTCTCAAAACTTTAGTGTTTCTGTGTGAAATGGCCTGTAAAAGACTGCCTACTGTCAGTGCTAGTGATGCTATTGGAGTGAAATGTAAAAGAGATATATATATATATATATATATATATATATATATATATATATATATATATATATATATATATATATATATATATATATATATATATATATATATATATATATATATATATATATATATATATATATATATATATATATATATATATATATATATATATATATATATATCAGTATTTAGGGAGTAGGTACTATTCTTACAGGTATTACAATATTACCACATTCACAGTTATATAACTTGAGATGCACGAGCTAGATTAGATGTACGACTGTACTGTACTTCCTCTGGTGTGCACAAAAATTCCAAGTCGTATGCACTGTAGCCTCTGTTCCAGAAGTTGGTGCTTATGCATTTCTACATGGCTTCCATAGAACTTGGTATGATAAAAAGAAAGTCAAGTACTGTACAGGTATATGTGTTTTATTGGGAGCTTGTTTGCATGATTGGACAATGTATGTTGGATGTTATTAGTCCATGAATTTTATATATTGGTAGATGACAGTAATTTGTAAGGATTCACTTGAATGATAGGTCATATATATACATTACAGTATGCAAGATGTGAAAACTTCCTGAATTGGATATTTTTTATGATAATGATAAGAGTGTGTTGGAGCAGTAGCTTGTAGATAAATAGGTCCAGAAATGTAACATTTGTATTTCTGCTTTCACTCACAACTCACTAATTATATAAATACTTTAAAGATATATTAATGTTATTCTTAGATCAAAACAAATGAATATACAATACAGTACTACACATCTTATTAACTCAC